GGACCGGCAAACAAAAACAGAACAGGGGACTGTGGGAGTGCTACTTTCTGCATACATGACTTAGTTTCAAAACCTCAAAATATTTAATTCTAATCACCAATCACACATGAATTAACTTGTGAAACCTTATCCTATATTAAACACACACACCAAAAAAAAACTATGTCCCAGCCACTTATGGACCCCCGTTGAGTGTTTTTTGTGTTTTGAGTCTTGAGTTTTTCTTTGTGTGTGTGTGCGTTTTGTTCTCTCCAGGCCTTTTGCAACTTCTGCCCCAACTTGTCAAAAGACAAAACAAAAGAAGGCAATGGAGGTCCATGAGTGGTTTGGACATAGGGTCATAGGGTTGTTTTTTGGTTTAGTTTTTGTTTGGTTTTATGGACGTGTTTACTAATATTACCAAAGGACAGGAGCCATTGTCCATGTCTGCTCAGCCGCACCTCATGGACATCATCCAGGTGCGCATTGTTTGCTGATTTTCTCATGGTTTGGACACCTTCCCAGAAAGTTACTTGAAACCATGGGAGGAAATACAGCACAGCCAAGACTTGAAAATAGAATCAGCAAACAAATTTCAGCATGTTTTTTTCAAAGCAAAATCCTTCAATACATGCCTTGTGCAGCAATATGTGTTCAAAGAATATGACATGTCTTGCATAAAGTCACATCATTACGTGCATAAAGCGGCATCATTTTGCACCGTCCTCTTAAAAAGGGAGTGTAGTGTAGTTTTTCTTTGAAAGGAATCTCAAGTCATGTTCAAAGCGACAGCTTATCAAAGTTCTCTTAGAGAGGTAAAGGAATCTATGGAAGAAGGACAGCAGCATTTCAGAATTGAATCTTTTGAGTACCTATTCTTAATAATCATTGTATTCCTTAAGAAAGTGTTGGTGCGGGTATGCTAAAAAGTTGCCTTGATAAGGCTGTGAACCATTTGATTGAAAAACAGGCAATAATATGAAGAAAAACGTTACTATGAAGTAGAAGTGTACCTATAATATGTTTAGAAAGAGACAGGTAATGACTACAACGTATGAAATATGGCCTTTCATATGAGTGAAACAACCGAAAAATACAAGCACCATTATTTAAAAAAAACACGTTACAAACCAATGTCATGCAGAAAAATGGGAGCGAGGCTTAACTTCATTGAGCACATATTGCATTTGTTCACATATTGTATTTCTGCAAGAATATTGTTTTTTGTTTCAGGGATTATCTTGTCTTCAAAGCAATTAATTATTTCATATAAAGAAGTGAAGTTTTTCCTTTAAAAGCACATATCATGCAGAAAAATGAAAATGAGGCTTACCATTGAAGGATGTACTGCATCTTTCCACACATTACAGTTTTCTTTCAAGAATATCGTTTATTTATTTAAGGGAATATATGTCTTGTCTTCAGGGCAGGCTGCAACCTGGAAGCAGTATGTTCCTTCAAAAGTAATCGAGTTCGACCAAGGATTGCTGCAATGTGCATCGACCATTGCTCCTTTTGACAGCAATACTGAATGCTTAACTTAATACTACAATGTTTTGGAAGACTGCACTTCTACAGAAACGAACAATGCATGTTTTGAGAAACCTCTATATTTCGTAGGGATACTACTTCTTGAAAGAAGTATTGCATTGCCTTGGACGAAAAATGCAGCTTATGAATGAAAGATATAGTGTATTGGATTGGATTGGAGGAGGACGTCAACCTGCTCCTCACCGAAGTGAAGTAGTTAAGACGCCGAAATTGCCAACGCAGAGCCGGAGCTCTTTGCACTGAACAAACCGGAGGGCAAGTTCAAGCCAAGAAAAGTACCACCCATGCAGCTGAAGAAGCAGCAAACGCTCATTCAAACGACCTGTTTTGACGTGGTTCGTGTTCAAGCAAAACTTGCCAGTAGGGAAGAGAACCCTTTAGTTGCGCCTTCCAAGCTTCTCCAGCCCAAACAACTGCCTCTCTGTGTTGTGACAAACAAGTAGCAATCACCTGCCGAAATTGACCTGTAAGATCAGCCGCGCTAGCATCCGCTTTGGCATTGAGCATGCGGCAACGCAAAACATCAAGCCACCCTTCGGGTGGGCGCCATCGAGGAACTTTATTATGCGAGGGAATCCAAGCACAAGAAGAGCCATCAACCAAAAGCATCCTGATATAATGCCAGTATGGAAAAAGATCTCCACCCCACTGACCAAGCCGCATGCCACGATGAAGACGTTGCACAAGAGCTTGGTTGTCAATCAGCAAGCGCACCGCTCTGTTCGCTTCATGGGAAGCCAAGCAGGCTTGAAGAAGTGCACCTCTCTCGCCCGCAGCAGGAGTTTGCTCGAAACCATGCACCAACCCATTGACCGTGGGCCCAAGATGTGCCGCCACAGCCCAGCTGGCACGCTGCCAAAGTTCGCACCCTGGAGCGATTGCGCAACTTCCATCCAAGCCCAAAGTCGGCGTTTGATGTGGGTCAAACTGTTGTAGAAAAGCCACCAGAATGGGGTCGGCCGTCATATCTTCAAATGGAAGAACAGCTGGAGCATCCACAAGAGGAACAAGCAACCGCCTTTCAGTTGGAGTTTTGAGATCACCATGCCAAGGATTTGCCTCGCAGTAGAAAGTGAAATGCTCACGATCAGGAGAGCTCAAACCACAATCACACTGCAAGTCGACTTCCAAACGTTGAGTAACTCTCCCATCCACTGCTGCACCTGGAAACGAAGACATCGCTTCTGCCAAAGTAGCACTATATTTTTACATGAATGCCTCATAATTTGCAAGGGTGATTAAAGGGTTGCATTTGCAACTGTTTCAAAATAGTTTAGCTTGCTAGATCTTACTAGGGTGTGGCAGTCTCTCACATTGTCTCCCTCCCATCGGCCATTGTAGTGTTTACATGTTTTTACTGTTTTTTTGGTTGGTGGCGTCTTCATTTGGATGAACATTTTGGCAGAGACATTAGGCATGCTGATGTTTATGAACAATTAGCACCAACAACTTGCTGTAAAACTAACAAAAAAACGCACTCCCCCAGTCCCCCGCTCTCAAAAAAAGAGGACATGGAAGAGGCAGAGAAAGAACAAAGTCAAACATGAAAAGGACAAGGAAGAAGAGCAGGAAGAGAACAAGGAACTTTAGTAAAAAGAGGAAAAGAAATTATCAAGAGGAAGGAATATGACAAATGAACAAGGAAGAGGAACATGGAAGAAAACACAGGACAAGAACGAGGAAGAGGAATAAGAAGAGGGAACCAAACAAGGGAAAACAAATTAATTACTTTACTTCGAGGGATCCCCAGCATGACATTGTTTTGTCATAATTAATGATATCTCAGTAATATCTCATCTATAAATATATATAGTATATATGGCTGGCTTTTTTCGCGAGCAACGTGGTTCATTGGGAATAAGGGATTTCTAGAACACAAGGTATGACCCTGACCCCGTCCTTGTTGGTAGCAGCTGGGAAGGAACTTTGGCATTCAGGCGCTGTGTGTCGCTTTGTGGTAGGTTAAAACTGATCAGGAAAAAAATAGAAATCAAATTTCTGAGATGACCCAGGAACGGAGTTCGCCGGAGTTCGTCGGAGTTCGTCGGGGTTCGTCGGGGCCGAATTTGCTACGTGAAAATGTTGTTGCCAAAGTGGAAAAACTGGTTATAAAAATGCGATTTTACTTTCTGCGTGCTGTTTTTCCATCCGTTTTAGGGGCGAAAACGTCAAAACACACGTAGGAAATGTTTGGACATCTTTGCGCGCAAGGTTAAGTTCGTCGGAGTTTGTCGGGCTTAAAGTTTTACAGACTGCGTAAAGATCTTTACCAAAAGTGTCACGAATATTCTTTCCAAGGCCAGATTGAAACTGGAAATTCTTATTGTTCTGCTGGTCCACCTGGTTCAGTCTTATGCATTTCGGCAGACCTTATTCCCTACGAACCCGCAAGCTCGCGAAAAAACCCATATATGGCATATATTTTCTGACATTCTATTCTGGCATTCTTTCTGACATTCTTTTGGCATTCTATTTGGCATCTATTCTGACGTCCTATTTGGCATCCTCTCTGGCATCTATTCTGACATTCTTTTCATTTCTGGCATTCTTTCTGATAATGTATTTGGCGTCTATTCCGACATTCTGGCACTTTATCTGGCATTCTATCTGACATCCTTTCTGGCATATGTATCTGGAATATCTTCCGAAATTCTTTCTGGCATTTTATCTGGCATTATATCTTCGGAGTTTCTTCGTGGTTGAGGTCCAGGTGGGAACACTCTAATCCGGAGCTTGCGGTGGAGGTCCGGCGGGGAACGCTCTGATCCGGAGGTTGCTGTTGGGGTCCGGCGGACGACGGAGGAGGAAGGAGGAGGAAGGAGGAGGAAGGAGGAGGAAGGAGGAGGAAGGAGGAAGGCGGGCTGGCTAACATAAAATCTAACAACCCGCACCTGACAGGTGGGGAAAACGGACAGAACAAACATGAAACAAACAGAACAAGAAGAAACAGCAGTTACAGAAGCTGCGACAAGAGAATCAGTATGTAGGGTAACTTAGTCGTCACTTCTCTGTGGCAGGTAGATGCAGAAAAAAGATTATGAGCACTTCGATTATTAATCATCTTACTTGATTTCAGGACATAAATTTAGCAGCAGCAAAATCAACACTTATTAGTAGAAACCAGGTCTATTTACAATGTATTTTACCCCCTCGAGTACATCTGCAATGGTTAATACATTCCCAGGGCGCTGTCATGCACATGCCTGTAAATAAACCGAATGTAAGTTGTACATATGATAGTTCTCACGGAACGGACGAAATATACCCCAAAGGTCCCCCCCACATATATATATATACACACAATATAATATATATATATATATATATAATTATATATATAGTACTATTTTTATTGTATTGGTGCAAAATATACATATTATACATATGTTACATATCCATATCCATACATTGTTAGATGTACACAGCCCAATACCCAATAGCTACCAGTCGCACCGTCCTGTCATTCGCAGGCTGCAGTGATCCGTGAACTTCCGCGTCAAGCGCAGCTGAAGGACGAGGAGGTTCCCAGTTGCCGATCGGTTGCCGTTGGAAAAGTTGCGGCAAATGGGGGGTTCCATAAATACGGGTACCCCAATAGCTGAATGGTTTATTTCATGGAAAATCCTACTAAAATGGATGAGAACTGGGGGTACCCCTATTTTAGGAAGCCCCCAAATCACCTTTGTGTCATTGGATTGGTTTGTTTAAGGGAAAATCTACAGCAAAGCCAGAAACCTTTTTTGTGGGAAAGACCATGAATTTCCTCATGTGTCCGGTTAAGATTTTCCCGCCAATCCATTGAAAGCGATGTGGTTAATGTCAACCCTGGATTAATAAACCCCAAACGGCTGTTTAATTTCGGGTGGTACCATTTAAGTATTAGATGAAATGACTATTGGAGGAGTACCCCCCTAATTAATAAACCATGGTTTAGTCTCATCCGGGGTTGACATTACTATCAAGGCTTCCAATTTTCGATGAATTCGATTGTGGGATTCCGGCAACTTTTTAATGGTGGACTAATCAATGACCATTGTGCCATGCTGGCCAGGAAGCGATTTATTGGAGCTACGTATTAGTACCAAAAAGAAAAGGCATGAAAAGGCCATATGATTTTGTGGGGGTATTCCCTGAAATTATATATATATCTTCATATATAGGCCTTTTTTCTATGGTAGGTCGCTCCAATCTTTTTCGGTTCCTGGCCAGCAGTGGAATCTTCATGGGATATGAACGGTGGAATCTTCGCTAAAAATCGCCGGGAGTGTCAAACATGGCTGGCTGGGATTTCCTTAGAATGTGGGCCCCCCCAGTGATGTTAGTTGGTTTAGATTCGCCCCAATAACTATAGTTATAAGTACCATAAACCATAGTGACATTGGAGTTATGTTCACCAACTTAGCTATCTAGGGGGCCCCACTTTGTAGAAAACCTGATACTCAAAGGGGCATGATATGGGAAGATCATGTACAAATGACGGACTTACCATTGCTATGATCAAAAGGGATGGTAAGTACAAACAAAAAAAACTCATGGTTTATTAGTTCATTATAGAGATTTACCCTCTAGTAAACTTACATAAATATGGAAAGATCCACCATGCTATTAATGGGTAAATCCACTATTTCTAAATGGTCATTTTCAATAGCTATGTTAGTTTACCAGGCCGGGTATATCATCATATATCCCATTAAATCCCATTAAATCCCATTAAATCCCATTAAATCCCATTAAATCCCAGGCCGGGTATAGAAGTTTACTAGTGTGGTTTACTGGTAAGTACCGTACAACATTTTTCCCTTCTGGTTAGATCTTATAGATCGCCTCATGGGATGATTTAGGGATGGTTTATTCGTTCATTTTTTTGACCATGATTTAGGCAGATGTTTGATCCATACAATGTGAGGCCCCCCAGTGATGTTAGTTGGTTTATAAGCCCCAGTAACTATAGTTATAAGTGATTATTGATCCATATATATATATCCATATGATATTCCATATTAGTTAAATAATCCATATGATTTGGTAATGAACCATTAGAAATAATATGGATATATTAATTAATCCATGTGATATTCCTTAATCTGGTTCATTAGTTCAGAACATCACTATGGTATATCACCATATATGGCCATATAATCCACTATAAATCACCATTTTTCATGGGAAAATCCACTATAATTCACTGTTATTAGGCCTAACAACAGCCAGAAAAACAGCCAGAAAAAATCATGAAAAACTCTAATCATCCATGGTGGGGGTTCTTGGTCCGTTGGTCCGTCTGGATGGCTACCGACAGTAGAACATCTGGTGTGTTTCTAATGGAACGATGTTGACCTAAGTCGCTAAAACTGAAGAAACAATTGGGCATCCAAGACTTACTGGTGTTAAACGTAGGGAATTTTCGGGAATGATCCATAATCATCACTAGTAATGTCATCATCCCAGCAACCCCCAGCAACCCATCCAGCAACCCTACGAATTAAGCACCAGTAAGTTATTAAAAAACAACCATTATTAACTATTGGTTTTTAGTACCAACTATTATTAACTATTGGCTATCTATTTGTTATTATTTAACCATTAACCAACTATAATAGATTGCCGGGCGTAGAAAAAGAACTTTGATCATTGCAGGGTCGAATCAAACCGCACTTCCAAGATGTAGCGACGCAAGATCGTCCCATGACTACCATCCGGTAAACGTTTACAAAAAACGGTGGAAAATGGTGATTTAGTTCGTGGATTTTCCCATGAAAAATGGTGATTAACTAACATAACGAACTGGAAAGATCCACCATGTGCAAAATGGGTAAATCCACGAACTTTCGACTGGACCATTTTCAATAGCTATTTTGACCTAACCAGAGGGTAACCATCCATTCCATTTTGAACAGAACGCCTTGAGCCATATGTTACTTACATCAGTGTTTAAACATGAAGATCTACCGTAGATCTTTAAATACCCTGGCAAAGGAAGCGAGCTTTGAAAGACATCATCATGAATGATGGTTTGGAAGAGGAAGTAAAACCAGACTACTTCAAAATTAAGAACCTATCATTGTCATATCATGGACTGGAAATATGCCATCCCTGAAAGAGTCAGTTGTGGTTTGTCCAATATGAGGTTTTCATCACTCAACATGACCATTACAAGAGGGAAACTCATGATACAACCAATGGCATCTGGGAAAATAAAGGATTTACCTTGAAAAATCATGGATTCAACAAGGAAAAGTAAGTAATTCAAGGATTCTTTGCAGGCTACCATAGTTCAGGGGGGTGCAAAACACGTCTTCGTCATTTGCGAGCTTTTTCATTAGATCATGAGGTCCTTTATAGGTGACGCTTCAGGTGCGCATTTCCGCGCGAGCAGCGTCCTTGAATTTTCCTGAGCTGCTCATGCTGCAGAACAAGTGACCCCAGTCCCTTGGAGTCCCACAGTGACCGATGAGGTGTGAGTACAGCATGGTGCCCACCAGTGATGTAAGTTGGTTTATAAACCCCATAAAAACCATCCATGAAATTTTCCATGAACTATAGTTATATCATGTTATATCTACCATAAACCATATAGTTAAAACCAATTACAAGGCAACTGAATGCTATCGACTGGGGTCCTATCCAGTCCCCATAAACATCCCTAAAGCAGCTCCAGATCTCTCCAATCACGATGCATGACGGTGAATGGATGCGTGGAACTCTTCCAACATGGCCCTAAAAATTGGATTGTTTTTTTTTTTTAAATGAAATTGATCTATCCCGTTTTGATTGGTTGAGAACGCCTATTTTTGGGAGTTGTAGGATCCAACGTGGTTCTCAACATCTCAATATTGCTTGGTATCCGTTCTCTTCGGGGTTAAAGTTCAATGGTTGAGTTGATTTCAATCCCTGATTGGTGGTTTGGAACATTTTTTATTTTCCATTTCATATATGGGATGTCATCCTTCCCATTGACGAACTCATATTTTTCAGAGGGGTAGGTCAACCACCAACCAGATCCAATATGTCCAATTCTTACTGGTTTCATCCCTCATCGTTGATGCTCCCTTTTTCGCGTTATAAAATGACTTCGAAAAAATCGCCCATGTCCAACTCATCTAGGTCAATCTTACATGGATACAAACTAATCCTAACTAGTCTTTTGGTATCAATGGAAATATCAATATCTACAGGGTGGGGCCCCCAAGATAGCTAAGTTGCCTTATAAGTGGCTTTATGGTAGATATAACTATACCTGGGGCACCCCTGGGATACCTTTTCTTGTCCAGATCCACAAAAGTTGTCTTTTCATAGTTTTTGACGGTTTTCACGTCCAAGATCGAAAGTTCACGCCCTTTCCGATAGCCGAACGGTTTTTCACGTCCTTTTGGCTAAATTGCGTTCAAATTACGTTCACATTGCGTTCGAATTGCGTTCAAATTACGTTCAATTACGTTCAAGTTGCGCAAAAATTACGTACAATGTCATCGTTTGAAAGCGCTTTATGAAAAGCCGTCCCGGACAACAATTCCTGTCCAACTTTCCAATAGTTTACTTTTTCTCATCTGGACAGGAAAAGGTGTCCTGGGGGTGCCCCAGGTAGTTAATAGGGCTTATAATGGTTTATAAACCCAGTTATAACTGGGGGGCCCCATCCTGTACTAACCAGCAAAGAATTTGGTCCATTTTTTGCAGGGCGCATCTGGCAGATTGGCAATGTCATTGTATTCCCATTCAGCTCATGGCAGGGTTGTACCGGGATTGGTAGGAGGGTAAACGAAAATGTACATCATCACTCAAGTCCCCGATTTTGATGGCTGGCCATGTGAGTTCTTGTGGATATTTATGTTCGTTGGAGGGAGTAAAAACCCTCTCCATTCTCTCATTGGATTGGTTTTCTTGGGAACAGTTTCTTCATTTTCAATGGACAGCGGCTTGTTTTGACATGTGGTTTTGACCGTGGTTGTATTTGAACATAGGGCATCCCCAGCAAGTTGATGGTTCATCATCGTTTTCCCGGTATTTTCCCATATTTCTCTACTTAGATGGGCCATGGAGTTAGGGAAAACTAGTTCGTAAGTGGGGTGATAACTTAAAACCCCCAAAATATCCCAATGAGATAAGCCAGTTACTAACTAGTTTTGTAAAACTAACTCCATGGCCCATCTAAGTACATGATTCCCATGAAAACGACCAAAACAGTGGGTATTCCTATGAGACAGACCCATTTTAACGATGAATCCAGGTACCAGTACAAGCCCAAGCTGCCCTTCGTGCTCTGCACGGAAGGCGACCCTTCCATTTCAGATTCCCATGATCCCATGCGAAGTCCCATAGAATGTGAGGCCCCCGTTCGATATCTAAGTTGGTTAACAAAAGCACCACAGGATGGGGCCCCCCAGTTATAACTGGGTTTATAAACCATTATAAGCCCTATTAACTATAGTTATATCTACCATCAAGCCACTTATAAGGCAACTTAGCTATCTTGGGGGCCCCACCCTGCAGTAACTATAGTTATAAGTACCATAAACCATAGTGACATTGGAGTTATTTGCACCAACTTATAACTGGGGGGCCTCACATTGTATGAGATAATATTGGAACATACGAGTAGCGTTTTTTTCTTCTGGATGCAAACAATAGATAAAGTGGGAACTACTCATATGATGGGATGATGATGGGATATAACTATATAATATATAACTAACCAATAATCTACTAGGGTTGCTCCAACCTGCTGTAGGTACTGATAGCCCTGCTATGGGGGAAGACTGATGAGTTAATCTATATAGCCACACCAACAAACAAAGGGATGATAAACCGACCATGTTTTGGTGATACGACAAGCGTTTTTTGGTGATACAATTGAAGATAGAACTCTGGGTTTGTTGAAGAACATGTTGAATAGATGGGACTCCAGTTGATGGCCCAATGAAATGGGCAGGAACGGGGTACCCAGCATGTTCAGGTACCAAACCCATTCGATTTATTGTTAAGGAATGGCAAGACATGTAAAACTTCACTGCTGCCAAAAAAACATGTTTTTGTTTTATAGTTTTTGTTTGGTTCTTGGAAGTGCAGTTCCAGTGAACAAGAAAGTGGCTCCATTTCAGCTTGTTTATAGTGGATATATCCAAACTTATGAAAACTTCCAGGGCTTTATTTCACCATGGTTACCCTCTGGTAATTTGTTACATAGCTATGGAAAATTCCACCATTTTTCATGGGAAAACTCACTATTTCTATGGCCATTTTCCATAGCTTTTTGTAAGTTTACCAGAGGGTATATCATCATATATCCCATTAAATCCCATTTTTTATGCCATTGAATCACCATCATATATCCCATTAAAACACCATTTTCATGGGTAAATAGCTAATAATTATCATATATATGTAAGTTTTATGTAAATAGCTATCTAGGGGGCCCCCCTTTGTAGCATCACTTAGTGACAACCTCAGTCCTTGACTTCGAGTCGTCGAAGCCGCCTTTTTTGCCGCCTTACAACAGGTGCTGGTGTGGTGACGGAAGTGGGATCCAAGGCGTGGCGGTAACGGACGCGGATGGGGATAGGGCTGTTTGACGATGCTAATATTGATAAATGATGACCAACTTTGGGATCATGGATATGTATATATATATGCATTTATTTATTTATTTATTTATTTATTTAAAAAAATAGTATTTATTTATTTATTTATTTATTGATTTATTTATTGATTTATTTATGTATTTATTTGGTAGCCTAGTTTTGAAATATGTAACGAGGCCTGCTACAAATAGAGGGCAAGATCCACAACTGGGTTTATACCTCAGCTGGCCGTTGGAGCGATTGAGGTAAACTGTTTCAGCCTGAAAAGTGACAGAAATCTGATTTTGGAAGGCTGTTAAGATCTGTTAAGATCTGTTAAGGCTGTCAAGGTTCGCTGAGTTGAGATATCTAGGTCAATCTTACATGGATACAAACTAATCCTAACTAGTCTTTTGGAAAAAAATGGGAATATCTACGTTCACCAGCAAAGAATTTGTCATTTTTTGCACGGTATCTGGCTGATTGGCAATGATATGTTCAGGTCAATTTCAGGGTTGATATGTTGATTTCCTCGTTTGAAACAGGCATCCTTTGGACTTTGAGTTGTTGATATCCATCACTTGGGGGCTCCCACGGATAGTAGGTGGGTTCTCCCCAGGTCTAAGTGGGACAAATAGGCATAATCCACTAAAATAAATGAGGTTATACCCTCTGGTTATGTCAAAATAGCTCTTTTTTTAATGACCCAGTCGAAATAGTTGACAACTACCCATTTTGCACATGGTGGATCTTTCCAGTTAGATATAACTGATATAACTATAGTATTCGTGGGGATAATGTCATGGTTTATAAACCAACTTAGATATCTTGTTTTCCCCATCCTGCAGGTCACGAAATTTCGTCCCGGCGATCGAGTCTTCTATGCTCGGAGCTCAGCATTTTTCCTGGCGATTTTTCGTGGACGTGGAAGACTGTTATCCCAATGATGATCCAATGATAATATTATTAATAAAAATTGATAACTAATTGATAATACTATTAATCCCAATCATATAACTATCATATAACTATCAGATAACTACAATGTGAGGCCCCCCGTTGTGATGTGAACGTTGGTTAACAAGTTGGCCCCAGTAACTAGTTCGTTACTTGCGTACCATAAACCATAGTGACATTGGAGTTATGTGAACCCCAACTTAGATATCTTGGGGGCCTCACATTGTATATACTGGTATGTTCTATAATATCTGGTTGGTGGTTTCAAACATGAATTTTATTGTCCATTTCATACATGGAATAGATGGGATGTCATCCTTCCCATTGACGAACTCCATCATTTTTCAAGATGGGCACATCGCACCACCAACCAGTATTATTATTAACCATTATTAACCATTATTAACCATGGAAATGAAGATGGGCACATCGCACCACCAACCAGAAGATGAGTGAAGATTGAGATCGGTTAACCTATCCATAATGGATTACAGCCATGGCAGCCACGGCGATTTCTGGAACGTTGTTTTATTTCATAGAATTGGATGATGGGAACATTTTAACCGGAAAGCCCTATATTTGATGGTAAAAACCATGGTTTCCGGTTAAGATTTTCCCTTAAACCAATCCAATGATTATTGAGATGTGATCAACAATGGATCTTGCATGTGACTGCGATCAAATCATGTCGGGTAGATTGGATCAAGCATCCCAAGACTCTCCGGACGCACAGGGTTTACAGTTTCTAACATGTTTGGGCCCTGAAGTCATACGTTTTTTTTCCGGACAAATGAACGGGGTGGGATCAGAAAACCACTTTCTAGTGGGACAACAGCTACAGCATGTTGGTGATGTATCTGTAACGTCCATATAATCATTATCATTATCATAATCATATACTTGGATCGTGAATTTACCGAGATATTAAATAGCTTTAATAATTCTTACATACTTTACCTAAAAATACTGTTCATTCTACCACCAAGACAGTTTTCATATGTTTTGATGAATTACTTGTCATACTTGTTTTGCTTCAAGCTGGTCATTGATGTTATCCTCCTGTGTGGCGGTAGACTATCCTAAGATACCCTCTGGTAAACTAACAGTTTGCTATGGAAAATCATGGAAAATAACAATGTTTAATAGGTAAATCAACGAACTAAATATTATACATTGCCATTTCCAATAGCAAACTGTTCGTTTACTCTAAATCAACTATAATTTGCCATTTTAATAGCACTGTTAAATTACCAGAGGGTAAGTACAACTATAGAATTGGACCAATCAATTATACCCTCTGGTAATTTAACATAACTATGGAAAATCACCATTTTTTATATGGGTAAATCCACTATAAATGGGCCATTTTCCATAGCTTTTTGTATGTTTACCAGAGGGTAAATGGAATTGCTATAGGGTCCTCAATATCTGTGGGTCCTTTCCGCATCCCGTCACCAGACATGTTGCGAACGCACGTCGAGGCCACGTTGGCCGGATGTGCTCGAGAGGAAATGGTGTTGCCGGAACAGGTGCGCAACAAAAAACAGAGAGATAGAGAGGAGAGATAGAGTCAATCAATAGTACAATTTTATTTGGATTTGTTTATGGACCTATGGAACTTAAAGATCGAAAGTTGGAATTTCACCATCAGAAATTGGGTTTCTCCTTTGGGTAATTCATAGCGAGCTCACCTTTGCATGCCGACTTAGATATGTTTGAATCATGTTCTTTTGCCTCAACCAGATTCTGGATGATGGCGGGTTGGAACCGGCCAACATTGCGCCACTTGTTCAGCTTGGTGAATTATGTTATGTCCAGATGAGCTGAAAATATCTTAAGTCACAGGGGGATCCCCAGTCGTCGCCATGGCTTAAAAAACACTAAGTCATGGTCATCCTGGATGATTTGGGATGATTTGGGTGTGGAAAATGCCCTTGACTTCGGAAACAAAAAAAAGGGCGGCCGAGTGGAAAATGCTCAGAAATGTTCCATGTAGAGTTCGGTGAAGCCACAGAATGCAAGATCGAGGAGTTCTTTCCAATGATGGTAACAGCATGTTTTTTGTAACTTTTAAGTATTCCCAAGGATCCCAAGAATCCATCAAAATCCCAAGTCTTGGTTTTACCCTCTGGTAATTTAAGATAGCTATAGAAAATTGAAAATGGCCCATTTATACTTGATTTTCCTATGAAACTAGTGGTTTTCCATAGCTACGTTAGTTTACCAGAGGGTACTATAGGCATATCTACATATATCTACCAGAAACCAATAAACTTCATATATCAATGGTTGTATCCCAATAAATCCCATTAAATCCCATTAAACCACCATAAACCCTCATTAAATCACCATTTTCCTATGGTTTTCCTATGGTTTTAATGATGTGTTCAACTCCAAGAATGGGGAGATGTGCCATGATGTGCCAATGTGCCGCCAGATCGTCATCCCGCTGCCTGATGCCTTATCTTTCAGCCAGGGGGTCTGGTCTCTCAGAAAGTTTGGGAATGTCCAGAGTTGGATGGGTGGCCAAAAAGGGAAAAATGATGAGAACTGGCGGTTTGATTGGTTTTTCCCATCATTTTCAGTGAACCGCACTCCTGTTTTTTTTTTCTATGGTTGAATGGAGGATAAAACGACCTAGAGGGTGTATCCCTTTTTTTTTCCATTTTAAATAGGATTTTCCATTATAAACCAGAGGGTAACTACTTGGTGGATCATCCCCCGGATCGTGTTTGTAGCTTAGTTCACCCTAGTTTTGTCAGTGGATGATCACCCTACTTATCCCACTGAAAACAACCAGAGTAGAAGCCACTTACTAAGTGAGATGAATTCTCAAAGTAGGGGGATATATCGAACGAGTATTTGTTTTTCATGAGGTGAATCTAAATCAACAAACTCAACAAACATTGCACGGTTTTTTTTTGTCGCCGCACCTTGCAAAAAATCATTTAGCCGCTGGTAATTTAACAGTTTGCGAACTGGAAAGATCCACCATTTAGTTCGTGATTTTTCCCATTAATAGCATGGTGGATCTTTCCAGTTCGCAAACTGTTAAATTACCAGAGGGTATATTGTTATTGTTATATAGATTTTTCTGGGAGAATCCACTCAAAAATGCGGAATCCATAGGGAAGATCGGAAGATTTTCTACTTTTGTGAGGGGGGGTCCTTAAGTCAATCCAGGGATCACTTGGGAAACCCATTGCAGTTTTTAATGATTACCCTCTTGTAAACATACAAAAAGCTATGGAAAATGGCCCATTTATAGATGGTTTACCTATTAAAAATGGTGATTTTCTATAGCTATGTTAAATTACCAGAGGGTATTCAGCGTGAGCTTTGGTGGAATGTAGTTGGTAGTTCACATCCATCATTGGGTCAACGCTTCCTTTGGTTAATTGGTTACCCTGCGGCGTCATCAAACGTGGCTGGCTGGCTATAAATCTAGGTCAATCTTAGATGGGTACTTTAATCCTTTAGTCTTTTGGTATCAATGGGAATATCTACTAACCAGCAAAGAATTTATTTTTTTTGCAGAGTATCTAAGATTGGCAATGAACTGGAGATTTAAATGGGACAATCATCAAACCAAATGATTGATTTTCCAGCAAGCCACGGTTGATGGCACCAGAGGGCAACTGTTTGTCCTCGATCGGAAAATCATCCACTAGAAATGGGTAACTGGGAATACCCTTTGGTAAACTAATTTGGCTATGGAAAATCACATTAATACCATTTTTAGTGAGATGAACATCCATTTACCAGCTATTTTGATGTTCACCAGGGGTACAAGGTTTTGACCCACTGCCAAATGGCCATTTTCACAAGCAAACTGTGACAAATTACCAGAGGGTAGGTCTTGTTTTTTCGTGCCTTTTTTGACAATCCAAGACAGTTGCGGCTCCAACGACCTCCGAGGCGAGTTTCCACATGGGCTACACCACAGGCACCCAAGATTCTGAGGGTGGAGGGTGGAGGTTTTTGCGAAACAACTACTTAGATGGGCCATAGGATTAGCGATTCCTGGTTAGTAACTGGGGTTCGTTTACCCCCAAAAAATCCCAATGAAATAAGTCATTTACTAACTAGTTAACTAACTCCATGGCCCATCTAAGTACAGGGTGGTGCCCCAGTTAAAGAACGCTCAGTTGGTTCATAAGTCCAATAACTATGGTTTATAGGTGATATATCGAACTAGTTAATGGGATTATAACCCATTTATAACTGGAGGGGGCACCACCTTGTATCAAAGAATTGAAACGTGGATAATGTGGTTAAAACAATAATATATAAACCATCCCAAGAATCACCACAAATGGCATGAACCATCAAAATGGGTTGGTTTATGATTGTTTTACCCACATTACAGGTCAAATTTCTGCAAGAAAAACAAACATATATTACCTGGTTCGTGGCTTCAAGCTTTTTTATTTTCCATAATATATGGGATAATCCTTCCCATTGACTAATATTTTTCAAGATGGTTAAAACCACCAACCAGTTACTATGGGAATATTAATATGGGAATATCATAATATACCTGGTTCGGGGTTTAAGGAACATGAATGGATTATGACTTTCCATCCAGTTGGGAATGAAAAATCATCCCAACTGACTCATATTTTTCAGAAGGGGTAGGTTGAAACCACCAACCAGTAATGTTTATAGCCATAATAACCATAATTGTGATATCATAGTCATAGTACAGCCATAACAATCATCATTATGATAATATCATAATGATATGAATTATCATAATGATCATTATTACCGTAGTATAACCACAATATTCATAAATGGGAGTTATAAACCACAATATCATCCCAACTGACTCATATTTTTCAGAGGGGTAGGTCAACCACCAACCAGGTAGATATTACCTATACTTAATGGGAGTTATAAACTAAATAATAACTTATAACTGGGGGGCGCACCACCTTGCACAAACAGAATTCGCCAAGTGAGTTCTGTGCGTCAACTTAGCAACTTTGTTTTACACGCGGTCCCCACCTTGTACTGGTTGGTCCGTTTAATCCTTAGTGACTATGTAATGTTCTGTAAAAGTAAATTACCACACTTAAAATATGTATATCATATACCAAATATATATATATATATGTACCAACAAACCAAAGTACTTAGAATATATTCATAAATGTATATAATAAATAAATATATATATATATACACCATCTATAACTCCCGGGCCATCATTTCCCATCATTTCCCATCAAAAATCGGGCTCCTTCCAGGTTACCACGGCCTGGTCACCCGTGGCCATTTGAAGCCCGGCGAGTGGCTCCTGGTCACGGGCGCCGGGGGCGGCATGGGCTCCATGGCGGTGGAGATTGGGAAAGCCGTGGGCGCCAAAGTGACCCGGTGGAACCCGGTGGAACTGGAGGCGAAGTTGGTGGTTTTTACATAACTTACTGGTGCTAAAATAATCCCATTCCCCCATTAGTGGTTATAGTTAATAGATAAAATAGTTCATAGTTATCATAGTCTACAGTTAATAGTCTATTATAGGTGGTTAATGGTTAATAGATAACCTACATAACTATAGTTTGAAAAAATATCATATATATATATAACTATAGTTAATAATTTGGTGTTATAAAATATCTATAGTTGGTTAATGGTATTATTTAATAGATAAGCTAGATAACCTATGATATTATATATAGTTGGCTAGTTGTAGAAAATGGTTAATAGATGTTAATAGCTATAGAATATAATAGAATGGTTAATAGCAAAGTTGGTGGTTTTTAAATGACTTACTGGTGCTAAACGTAGGGAATGGATGGAAATGGGGGTTGCTGGGATGATTATTGATTGTTATTGTGGATTATTAAATAACTATAGTTAATAGACATAGTTAATTTGATCAGACATTGGGAAATTTCGCCAACTTGGGCGACTTCACCTTTTCCTTCACCATCAAGAATGGGTGGAAGCCTAGAGAATCATCAGATGTAGGGATATGTAGGGATGTACCCTCTGGTAATTTAACAGTTTGCTATTGAAAATCGCCATTTAGCTCGTTGATTTACCCATTAAACATTGTGATTTTCCATAGTTTTTTATATGTTTACCAGAAGGTAACATATGTAACATGTAAACATTCCAAGCAACCATTAATGCGTTCATGGATGGTCCTGAAAAACCAGCTGGTTTGAAACCACGGATCATCCAGGTGATCGCCGCGGCAAGTTCGGATGATAAGTTGGAGGTGTGCAAAAAGGCAGGGAAAGGGACACGGAAAGGGATGGAGAAAACGTTGCGAAATGATTTGGGAATGGGGACCTGGGAATACCCTCTGGTCAACTAACAGTTTGCCATGGAAAATATCACGATTTTCAATAGGAACATGTTTGTTTGTTTTTTTGTTGATGAGAGATGAAATCAGATCGATTTGTCAAAAAAATACGCCAATCTCAAGGGAACATGAGGTTTTTGTGAGTTATTTGATTATATTTCATCTCTCTGATCAGAGGGTTTGCGATTGTGTGTGAGATCTAGTGCTATCAATACTGGTTCAAAATGTTGAGCATGTTCATTTGGACCTGTTTGAAACTGCGGGATACGGGATACTTGAAAAAAATCACTCAAAAATCGAAAGAGCATCATTAATCATCAAATTGTTGAAGTTTTCCGAGCATTTTCAGGTGTCCTTTCCCATTTGTTTTTTTTCCCATTTGGATCTCTCTAATCACCATGTGTCTACCCAGACGTTCCAAGTAAATACGTTAAAAAAGGTGTTTTGTCCCATACCCAGATGCTCCATGTTGCTGGAATATTTACCTACAAAACTGCGCCATTTTTGGGGTAAATGTACGTGTGCATATTGCAGCACCACGGTTCGCATCTGGGATAGTAAATAGATAACTTAGATAACTATAGTTTGAATATTTATATATATATAACTACAGTTTTAACTTGGTGTTATTAAATAACTATAGTCTAGTTGGTTAATGGTATTATTTAATAGATAAACTAGATATGAGGGGTCCTTTTGTCTGACAAAACTCTGACAGTTGGGAGCCGATTATGTGGTGAATTACAACAAGCAGAAGTTGAAAGATGTGGCCGGAAGCTCAGTTGAGATATCTCCAAGGCTTGACTTAGAGCCAGTGCAAACTACCAACTACCACAATCACCAGAAATGGTCTAGTTGCAATCGGATTTAACTATATATTTGCAATGAAGATGTGGTTATACATACCCTCTGGTAAACATACACAAAACTATGGACAGATCCACCATGTTTAATGGGTAAATGAACTATCTATGGTCATTTTAGCTATGTTAAATTACTCAGAGGGTAGAGCCAGTGCAAACTACCACCTACCACAATCAATAATCACCACACATGGTCTTCATAGTGAAATGAACATATATGGGTCAAATTTTGGGAACAGAAATAATGAAAATTCTAGGTTTTTTTTGTTGGATCAAAAACTCCGATTTGCAATTCATAGTAACTTTTGGGTAGATCAAATGTTGGGGCCCCCATTTTTGACCAATTTTTTGGTTAAGTACGATATCATCATACAGGATGGGGAAAACACGTGATGTTTGTTGGTTTATAAACCAGGAAATAACCACCATGAATTAACTATAGTTAAATCTACCATAAACATCATAAACCATATAGTTATATCTACCATAAACCATTGAATTCAACCACTTATGTTCACCAACTGAACGCGAGCTCCCACCCTGTATCATCCTATCATCCCGTATCGGGGTCATCCAGGAACTATGAACGATAGCCTGAACGATAGACATGTGAGGCCAAGATGTGAACGATATACCCATTAATAAATGGTGGATCTTTCCATAGTTATGTTAGTTAAAAATGGTTGATGATATAGGGGGTTATACTACCTAATTATGGTTATTTATAGTGGATTTTCCCATTAATAAATGGTGATTTTCCATAGTTATGTAACAATTTACCAGAAGGTATTCCAACTCTTGGGCATATCCTACTGTGGATGGTCCAGCGAAATCCGAATCACCACTTAATAGATGGTAAACATCCCAGTATTTTGTTTGGGTTTCAACCATCCTTTTGGTGGTGCAAGGTTTCTTCCATCCACAGTAGTATTAGCACCTCCTGATCTCTGTCATTGTTTCGAAATCTCTCAGCATTTTCTGTCAGTAACCAGTCATTGTTTGCTGTATCCGGCAGTTTTTGGGCCTATGAGAGGCCAGACGTTTCGTGGCCTTGCAGTAACCAACGGATGGATCTTGGATCATTTGGAGGTTTCCTATGGGACCCAAATCCTCCAAGGCGTGTACTGAGACCCATGGTTGGGGATCACCTTTCAGAAATCCCCAACATGGAGAAAACACGTCACTCCCTGCGAACCATGATGCTGGAATATGCACACCTACATTTATCCCCGAACATGGCACAGTTTTGTAGGTGTGCATATTCCAGCAGCATGGTGAGCTAATCTGGGACTTGTTTGATGTTCTTTGCAAGAGTCGGACTGCAGAAAATGCGACGAAATGAGTCGGTCCATACCCGCGACTGTGGCAGAGATCTTTGATGATCATACCCTCTGGTTATGTCAAAATAGCTATTGAAAATGACCATAAAAAGTTTTTTGTAGGTTTACCAGAGGGTAGCCGTTTTTTTTCGGGGAAAATCATCACTCCCAACTTGTCGACTGGGATGTGAAAGGAGGTCGTTTTTTAGATGTTCCTTCATAGAAAAAAATTAGAGATAGTATCCTCTGGTAATTTAACATAGCGAACTGGAAAGATCCACCATGTTTAATGGGAAAATCACAATTTTTAATGGGAAAATCACCATTTTCCACTTAGTAAGTGGGTTAGTTCACCCCAGTGATTGAAGTGTATTAACCCTACAAAAATCCCATGTAAATCACTGGGGTGAACTAACCCACTTACGAGCCGTGGGATGAGCCAGCAAATATGAAAAATGGGTGATTTATGTTCCAGTGAGACTTGGTAGAATTTGGTAGCCGCTAGTGGGTAGCTCTTTCATTTTTCACGCAACAATCCATGGAAACCATGAGTTGTGTTTTTTTTCCACTTGTTAGGTAATCTTGTTAGGTACCCTCTGGTAAACTGTTACATAACTATGGAAAGATCCACCATGCTATTAATGGGTAAATCCACTATTTCTATGGCCATTTTCCATAGCTTTTTGTATGTTTACCCACTAAATGATTAGACATTCGATTCCTTTACCATTCAACCATTTAGAAATCGTTGATTTACCCATTTTGCACATGGTGATTTTCCATAGCTTTTTGTATGTAAAAACCAGGCCGGGTAATCCTTCCATGTGTTGTTTCCACCAATTTCCACGATGGTCGGGTCAGCCACGAGGTCGGCGAGATCACCAAAGGTCAGTTCTGCGACGTGCGCTGGGGGTTTCCCTGCGCTGTTGGGCTGGGGGTGGGATTGGTGCGGCTGGGACATGGGGATCTTGTGTTTTTCACCAAGAAATCTGTGATAGGTCATGGAGTCTCATATCGAAAAACACAAGATTTTGACAATGGTTTAAAACACAAGATCCATTGATAAACATGTTGGGGATCTTGTGTTCAGATTTTGGGAGAAATCTGTGTCTTTGAACATGAAGTCTCCTCAAAATCAATTCCTGGCAATGATGACAGTGATAGTGACGATTAATGATGGTTAAGCAGTAGATTTAGGGATACCCGATTTTCAGACACCAGTTTGGGTGGTTTAAATATTTAAATTTGCAGATTCTAGGTTTGACCCACACAGCCGTTAGCGAAGCCAAAGAAATGGTTGAAACCCATGAACATGAAGATCCAAGCAACAAAATCGAGACCGTTATATACTTCATACCTCTGTTGATTGGTCAATTAAGGTAGGGGGTACCCTCCGGTACTGAAAGATGTCTATGACAAGTTTCCCATTTATAGATGACTTTCCCATGAAAAAACTCCATGCCTCTGGTGTTTTTTTTTTTCACGATCTCGCTGCGACCTCATTGGATTAAAGGGTAGTACTGTAACGGGAACCATCCCAAAATGGCCTTGTTTCAGATCTGGTTGGTGGTTTGGAACATGAATGGATTGTGACTTTCCATTCAGTTGTGAATAATCATCCCAAGTGACGAACTCATTTTTCAGAGGGGTAGGTATACCACCAAGCAGAGATTATTGAGTTATTATAATTTATTCAGATTTATGGTGGATTTCCAATTGCAATTTTTGATTACCGGAGGTATACGAAGTGGGTTCTTGCAGATTTTCGCACTGACCCATGATAAGAATATTTACTCACCAGCCAGCCAACTTGGGATGGGAATTCGGGCATGTTTCATAGCTCAACTTCGGTGGTTTCAATGGTGGATGATTTCAACAAGCAGCACTCCCTTCGTGATATTTTGATATACCCTCTGGTAAACTAAGATAGCTATGGAAAATGGTCATTTATATCTATAAGCATTAAATATGGTGATGTTCAATAGCTAGATTAAATTAATATGACTAAATTACCAGAGGCTACCCCCCATAGCCCGCAAAATGAAGCAATCCAATATGCTAAACCCAGTGGTTTCAATGTGGAGAGATTCAACAAATGACCCTCCAGTCATCCGTCATGTGGCTGAAGAAATTCCCACGATTCATGGAGGATTTTGTGGCTGGGAATTCATGGAACGTTGTAAAATCATGCATGGTACCCTCTGGCCAATTAACATGACGACCCTGACATGACTTGGGGGTCTTGGGGGTTGGAAGACTAGTGAAACCACTAAGAATTGGCTATTTTCAGGGTCGAACTGTTAATTTACTGGAGTGTAACAATTCCTCAACAAATGCGAAGTGAAACTAAATTTACTAAATGCTAATCTAAACAAAACCCTAAATGGAGCTTTAGTTCGCTGGAATCATCATGCATGGTAAATATAAATCTAGCCACATGTATTTACCAGCTGTAATTTGCCACTTTTTTCAGGTGATTTATGAACCTGTTGGCGGAGAGATTTTCGATCAGTGCGTGTACGCGTCTCAGAGATCTCCGGCCCTCTTAGATTTTATGAGTTGGTTGATGGTTGTTAGGCCCCTCGTTGTGATGTGAAGGTTGTTTAACAAAAGCCCCAGTAACTATAGTTATAAGTACCATAAACCTATAGATATATCACCTATAAACCTATAGATATATCACCTATAGATATGTATATCACCTATAAACCAGTTCGTGACATTGGAGTTATGTGAACCCCAACTTAGCTATCGTAAACGGGGGCCCCACTTTGTGATGGTTGTGTTGATTTTCCGCTTGGAGGATCGTTGAGGATCATCGAACGTAACCACAGTTACAGCTTTAGTTCAAGACAGTTTCGATATGGTTACCTGACTGGATAATGTCAACTGGATAATAGTTATAGTCTAATACTTAAATACTCAACAAAATGGTACCCTCCCCATCAAACAGCCGTAAACGGGGTGAGAAAAATCCAGGGTTGACATTATCCCAGTTATAACTACACTTATTGTCCACCTATCATTCCACCCAATTGTCACTGAAAACGATCCGTTGGATGATCCTCCAAATGGAATTGTCATTTTTTGGGAATATACCCGGCCTGGTAAACATACACAAAACTATGGAAAATCATCATTTTAAATGGATAAATCAGCTATTTCGACGGGGCCATTTTCAATAGCTTTTCGTTAGTTCACCAAAGGGTATATCATCATATATCCCATTAAAACACCATTAAATGCCATTGAATCACCATCATATATCCCAGTAAATCCCATTAAATGCCATTGAATCACCATCATATATCCCATTAAAACACCATGAATATGGGTAATTCACTAGTTTTTTGTATATTTACCAGGTCGAGTATAGTCTGGAACCTTCAGGGTGTCTAGTTTCGGAATCGATAGTCCATTGCCAAGATTTGGGAGTTTGGAAATGACGAAGATATTTTTCATGGCTATGTTAGTCATAACCAGAGGGTACAGGATGGGGCCCCCCAGTTATAAGTTGGTTTATAAACCATTAATAATCCCCATTAACTAGTTCGTTATATCTACCATAAACCATTGAATTCAACAACTTATAAACCAACTTAGCTATCTTGGGGGCCCCACCCTGTAACCCATCATTAATTATGGACAGATCTACCATAAACATCCAGAATTGTGATGAGTTATCCAGATTTTATCGCCAACAAGATGGGTTTGGTACCCAAAGATGTTGGAAAATTCACGAAAAAACATCAACCATTCAATGGGAATTTCAGGATCCAATTGATGGAGGTACTGTACAGGATGGGGCCCCCAGTCGATAGCGTTCAGTTGGTTTATAAGTGGTTGAATTCAATGGTTTATGGTAGATATAACGAACTAGTTAATGGGGATTATAATGGTTTATAAACCAACTTACAACTGGAGGGCCCCATCCTGTTGGAATGGGTTGAAATTACTAATGAGCAGGGATGTGCGATTTGAGTTGCTCAATTTCGGCAATGAAGATGTGGTTAGTTGGTGGTTTGGAACATGAATTTTACTTTTCCAATCAGTTGGGGAGTTCATAATCCCATCTGACGAACTCCATCATTTTTCAGAGGGGTAGGTAGGTCAACCACCAACCAGGCTACAGATGTTGAATTTTCAGAAACATCTGAAAGTATCCCATGTCCAACTTGAGGAGGTAGTCTCTGTAAAATCCGCCATCTTGACTTACTGGTGCTTAGCCAGGCAATGGATGGGAATGGTGGAATGGGATGATTGTTGATAGTTAGCCAGTGGATCATTCCCTCATTCCCTGCTAAGCACTAGTAAGTTGGACATATGGCAAAATCATCCTTAGATACAATGTGGGGCCCCCAAACCATAGCTAAGTTGGTTATAACTCTGATAACTATGGTTCATGATACGCAGAAAACTGTTCATATGTATTCATGGGGTGTATACAATCTTATAACTGGGGCCCCCACATTGTACATTGATAAAATGCGAGATGTGTACGTAAACTTTCCAGGTTTGATCAGGTTGGATTCCCCAGTTGTATAGATAGTATAGATGGTATATATGATATTCCCATATATAATACTGTATACCTGGTGGTTGATGATTGTGGGTTAATGGATGGTATATATGGTATAGATGGTATATGATATCTGGTTGATGGTTTGGAACAGGAATTTTATGACATTCCACATATTGGGAATTTCAACATTCCAATTGACTGGCAACCAGTTCAGAAAATTCAAAAATTGTCTGGCATCTCAGACTACAAGGTGAGGCCTTTAAGATATACGTTGGCTTATGAACCCCATTGACTAGATCCTTATATCCCCAATTAACCCAAACGTTCACCAAGTTAGCACAAGGGCCTAACAATAGTTAATTGGGGATATAACAATCTAGTCAATTGGCGATATTCACCAAAGTTGACTCACAAAGTTGACTGGATCCGTAGTTTTTTCGGTGGGATAAGTACGGGTTAATCCACTTATAACTGAGGTTATAAGTTATACCCTTTGGCTATTTAACATAGCTATGGAAAATCACCATTTATCATAGGTACATAATCTATAAATGGGTCATTTTCCATAGCTATGTTAAATAACCAGAGGGTAAGTTACAATCCACTTAGTAAGTGGGATGAACCATTGACTAGATCCTTATATCCCCAACCCAAACGTTCACCAAAAAGTTTCACCTAGGCTCGTCCTTTTTCGTGGCACACGCTCAGTTGGTGCACATAAGTCCAATGTTACTATGGTTGATAGATGATATATGCTGGTTTCTAATGGTTAAATGGGATAATAATATATGATATATGGTTTCTTATAGATGATATATGCAGTTAGATGATACATCGAACTACCATCTGGTTATTGAACATAGCGAACTGGAAAATCCATTATAAATGGGGGTTTATAGCTGGGAAAAACATCTGTTTCTATGGGCCATTTTCCATAGCTATGTTCAATAACCAGAGGGTAGAATATATATACTGTATATATATATAATGGGAAATAAGGTATTTAGTTGGCCATTTAATGGGATTATAACTATAGCCATTTGATATGCAGTTTAATCCCATTGGATAACTGGAAAATGGCCCATTTACAGTTGATTTACCCATTGAAAATTGCCCATTTATAGTGAGTTTTCCCATTGAACATGGTGATTTTCCATAGTTTTTTGGGGGCACCACCATTTGATATTGCCATTATAACCCATTTATAACTGGGGGGGCACCACCACCACCTTGGAGGAGATGTGTGGCGACCAAAGGCTATGCCAGACTTCTAGTCATTGGCTTCGCGTCCGCGCCTCGGGGTGCAACCCCACCGCGTTGCGGTCGTGTCGGCCATGGCAATTGCGCGGAAATCCTCGAAATGGCATTGAAAATATTGAAATGGGAAAATAATCTATAAATGAGTCAGTTTTTTGGTTGACAGAAATTTTGGTATCTAACTAATTCTAGTTTGATCTAGTTTGTATATAAGCATATTTCTTTGCGTTCAAACATGTCGAAAATAGGGATTGAAATATTAAAAAACATCAGAGTGAGTTTGCTGAGTCATTACATATATTTTGCCATGGGTGAGTAATAGATTTGGTGCTTCCCAGCCATTCTCTTAGACTTAGTAAACCAACTTAGGGAATCTGAGAACCGGTAGACAACCAGTCTGGTTGGTGCTTTCAAACATTTTTTATTTTCCATTTTCATATATGGGATGTCATCCTTCCCATTGACGAACTCCATCATTTTTCAAGATGTTTTTTTAACCACCAACCAGTTAGTTAACTAGTTAGTAAATGGCTCATTTCATTTGATTTTTTTGGGGGAAAACTAACCCCAGTTACTAACTAATTAACTAACTCCATGGCCCATATATATGGTAGATAATATCCCATTATATATCCCATTATACATCCCATATAAATACCATGTTATTATCCCAACCAGCAGTAGACATGGAGATTTCAACTTCTGGGGCTCAACGAGGTGTGGAACCATTCCAAAGTTCGGCATCAACATGGCTGCGACCTCGATTCTTGCTTGGTTTTTCCGTAAAAAAATCGGCAAACTGAATGTTATCTGAGAGATGAAGGTGTCTCTAGATTACCCCCTGGTAAACATGCAAAAAGCTCGAAAATTGCCATTTATAGTGAGTTTTCCCATTAAACATGGTGATTTTCCGTAGTCATTTTAGTTTACCAGAGGGAAATGATGTCATGTGGGTAAAACAAAATGTCATTTGCACCATCCCCCAGTCATCACCAAAAAGTTATAGGTGGTATGTTTACCTTTTTCCAAATGGATGGTTTATCACATTGTTTTACCCACATTATGCTGTCTTTAGATGTATGCATTGTGATTAGGGGTCTTCATCTAAACTTGCTGGGGCAGGGATGTGAGATTTGAGTTGCTCAATTTCCTTGGCAATGAAGATGTGGTTATATAATACATATATATATATTCTGGTTGGTCGTTTGGAACATGGTTTTTATTTATCCATTCAGTTGGGAAAAATTATCCCAACTGACGAACTCATATTTTTCAGAGGGGTTGAAACCATCAACCAGATATATATATAATAATAATAATAACAATAATTATTATTACTATTATTATTATATATATATATATCATGTTAACTATAGTTGACTGGAGGGGAAATATGATTTAATCATATCTAAATCTAACCATCCTCGTGGTGATTGTGATATTTCTTGATATGGTATGCTATGGTCATTCTGCAACATTGGCACTTGAGTCAGTCAACATTCCATCCGCCACCGATGCTACCGGCTTCAGGGGCCCCTTTTTAGGCCTTGACCTAACCTGAGCCATTGGAGCTCTTCCGCGCTGTGGCGCTGGCAAAACAGACCTCTGTGGTCTTTGCGGCTTAGCGTGAGGTTGGAGAGGACTTTGGTGATTGGAAGTGTGTTCAGCATCCCCCAGCAAAGAGCCCAATACCTACTGCTGGCTACCACCGCTACATTGGTAGCGGAGCAGTGATCGCTCCAGGCGACCTGCTCCAGCTGGGTGGATTGCTGAGGGATAGCAAACTACTTGCTGTTCTTCTTTGCCAAGATCCCAGGTCTAGCATTTGCTTGCGCTACTTCCCTTGTGCACTTGCTTGGACTTCAAGCCCTACTGGCTGATTCGGAAGATTGAAAACCACGAGCTCTTCCGGCTGATCAGGAAGTATTTGCCCAAGATTGCTAGCACCTTTTGTGTTTTCACTTTTTCCTTGAGGACTTCTTTTACCAGATCTCTGAAGAGACCTTTTACCAGTTTTCCCTGAAGCAATGGCATCGGACGGTAAAGATGTGATTCCTAGCTGGGATGGTTCTGCCCGTACATGGAGAAGGTATACTAGGGAGGTTGCATGGTTCTTTCGTGCTACACCATCACACAAACGAAGATATGTAGCTACAAAACTGTTGAGCAGGTTGACAGGTTCTGCACGTCTTTTGGCTATGTCATGGACGGATATGGCTTTGGATGACTATGATGGCACTCGAACCTTGCTTCGAAGGTTGTCAGCCAGCCCTCTGGTCAGGCAGTCGCTGCCCAACGCCTCAGCGATATGCTCCCAGTACTTTGACTTCAAGAGGCGCCCTGGCGAACCGATGACGGCATTTCTAGTCCGTGAATCTCTAGGCTATGCTGAATTTGTTGAATCCCTAGTTCGTCTTGCAGAAGAGAAGAAGGGTTCTAGCTCTGAGACTTCTGATTTTTGTTTACCACCGAAACCTCATGATGATGTTGGTTGGGAATAGGATGAATGGTCACATGATGATGGGGGACTTGGTTGGTTTTGGCAACATGATCAAGATGATGTGGGGGTTCAAACTTCTCCTGCATCAGCTGCTGCTGGACCCGCTGGAGACAGCGGCTCGCCTGCGTATCAACGAGTTCCTCGTGACTCACCACCAAGTCGGCGATCTGCTGGCGTCCAACCATCATTCTTTGCTGAGGACAAAACTGAAATCAACGAGCTGACTTTTGCTGACTCCTTTGTTTTAGGCGTTTTGCGAGGTTTTAGAATTCTTCAAGCTGCTGGTCTCACGCCAGATGAGCGACGGGTGATTTTGTCATCTACACGAGGCTCACTGGAATTTGAGGAGATCACTAAAGCACTGCAGACCTTATGGGACGAACAATTTGCTGGCCAACGCCATCAGACTCACCAGGCTCATTTTCAGGAGTCTTTTGCTGCAGAACGAGATGAACATGAAGATCAGTTTTGGGAAGATGCCAACTATGCTGAGGACTGGTCATACTATGACTCGTCATGGGACTGGCCAGAAACTTATGTTGCAGAGCAAATTCCTGAAGAACCACAGGATAATCCTGAAGATGATGCGGCCATTCGAGAGGCTCAGCAGGCAGAAAAGGTGGCCGAAAGCCTGGCAGTTGAGGCCCAGCGTACTTGGAGTGAGGCACAGCGTGCCACCGCAGCCTTGAGAAAGGACAGAGGCTTTGGTCAACACTCCATGTCTGGCAACAGTCAGAAGGGCAAGGGCTGCTGGATTTGTAATGGTCCGCATCTCTCACGTGATTGTCCTGACCGGCAACATCCACACTATACCAAGGGCAAGTCCAAGGGCAAATTTGGCTATGCTGCAGAGTTTTCACCTTGGGACTACCAGGCCTATGATGACTTCTACATGGGCCGCTCCAAGGGCAAGAAGGGCAAGTCTCACCACTGGCTAGAGTCTCAAGCATGGCTCAAGGGCAAGGGTCCTCGACATGCTGGCTCTGGAAAGGGTCCTTTGAGACCACCAGTCAATGCGTATCACTCTGAGCTTTTTGTTGGCGGCCTGGAGATGCTTCGTAGTCCCAATGAGCTGCAAGCTTCCACAAAGGAGAGTTTGCCTAGCACCCATGGCCTTCTTGATTGCGGAGCGACAGCCTCAGCTGGACCGCAAATTGCGGTAGAAAAGCTGATTTCTGCTGTCCTGTCCAAAGACAGCCAAGCGCAGATTGACATCCGCCAAGGCGATCGTCCATATTTTCGCTTTGGGAATGGACGGTGGGGCAGGGCACTCTACAAGGTGGAGATTAACTCCTGTGTCAGTGGTCAGACCCGAAAGTTTGGTTTATATGCTCTTCCCAATCCTGCTGAACTTCATAGCCCTGACTTTGACATGAACTCCCTGGTTCCCATTCTCATTGGCATGGATCATTTGTCTAGTCCATCTTCGGCAATGACCATCGATTTCATGACTGGTTTGGCGTTAGATTCACATGAGATTGAACCCATGGTTTACCAGTTGGCCTCCAATCGAAAGGGACACTTTGTTTTGGACATTGTCTATTTTCTCACGAGGGGTCACGCCAATTTTTCTGGTCATCCACGGGTACATGTCATGGAAGCTGCCACTACACAACATGAGGAGAACCATTTCATACAGTTCATGCCTTTGGAGTTTGATGCACATATACAAGAAGCTCATGATTCACAACACATATATAGAAGTGAGAAGCTGCAGAAGTCACATCGAAATTTGTTGAAGCTGCATGGGAACACCTTGAGATTTTGTGCCTCCCAGCAGTCTTCTGCTCATATGATCGCTTCGACAGTGACACCAAATTCGAGTCCACCAGATCTACCCTGCAATGGCGCAGCGGAAGTCCTTGACCAAATCACAGGTGGAGAAGCTGACCGAGATTCAGCAATCAACGCCAGAGAAAGCCTCGCCACCACCCTTCGACGAGGCAAGGAAAGTGGGTCCCGATCTTCGCGACCCCAGAATGCGTCGTCATCAGTGGCCGTGCTACGGCAACCATCAAGCAGCGAAGCCAAAGGCCAATCCCTTTGGACAGTGGATACAGTGCCGTGTATGCAATCTCAGGTTGGAGTACACGCCCCGTCGGGGAGCGACGGCTCAAGCAACAAAAGCGGAGAACGAGCACCAAGTGATCCGTATGTTGCAGGAGCTGGAGACTATGCTGGACGGAGTCCCACCATCTGCGGAACTTTGCCTGGCTATGCAGAAGAAAGTGGACGCGGAGACTCAGTTGGAGATCATGGTGGGCAAGCATCTTTCAAGCTTGAAGGCCAAACCTTCCAGCACACAGTCCAAGGCCAAGGCGAAGGCCAAGGCCTATCCGGTGTCAACCTCAATTGCGACACCTACGCACATGGTGGAGGAGCAGGAGGAGATGGCCAACTTGGCACACGACCTCCACAACTTCCTGACTGCCGAGGAGATGGATCACGTGCGAACTTTGGTGGCAAATCGTCAGGCGGCGATCAACATGGAGTTCGGCGTGATGAACCCCGAGGAGGAGCAAGTGGTGGAGGAGGCCGAGTGGGTCGAGCCTTGAGTTCATCTTCCTTGCGGAGCTCTACGACGTCCAAGAGGGTGAGGTTCAACGATGGCGATGGCTCTACATCATCTACCCGGCCGATGGCTTCGAAGAGATCTTCTATGACATCACCACCAACTATAACCTCGACGTCTTCCTCTTTGACTTCGACATCATCATCGAGCTCTACGCCCTTGACGAGATCTATGGCTGCCAAGGTTCTGCTGATGGCTACAACCTTGCTGACCTCTATGGCCTCTGCGGCATCTGATCTTCTTCTTGGCGGCAATGATGGTGTCTGGGAGATTGCTTGCGCACCACACTCCTGGCTGACAGAAGCATGCCTTCAACAAGGTCTGCGACCACGACGCATCAATCTGCATCAAGGCTTTGATGTGTACAAGGACAAGACATGGGCTCATCTTCGAGAACTTCGGCGTCAACACAAACCCAAGCGACTTTGGTTTTCCTTGCGATGCACAATGTGGTGTCAGTGGACGTACATCAACTACAGCAATCCGGAGAAGAAGATTCTCTTGGCTGCATATCGTCGCAAGGAGATTAGAATGCTTTGGAACGCCGTGCACTTCATCGAGAACACTCTGAAGGAGGACCCCGACATCGACATCTACTGGGAATGGCCGTGGCCTTGCATTGGCTGGGGCCAAGGTCCTCTTCTTCGTCTTCAACAAGTTCTACATGCTCATGGTCGTGAATGGCTGCCATGTCGAATTGATGGCTGCAATTATGGTCTTCGGGCCAATGATGGCGCTGGTGATTTTTTGAGGAAGCAGTGGATGGTTCGCACTACAAGCTCAACATTTCACCAGAAGTTCAAGACCAAGACCTGTCCTGGCGGTCATCGACATAGTCATGTAGCTGGAGTGGAGACTGCCAAGAGTTCATACTACCCTTGGCGCATGGTGAAGGCGATTGCCAATGCATGGCGACAAGAACTCCTATCAGATCGCAATCAACGACTTCTTTTTGCCGTTGATGATCAACCATCTATGGTCTCCATCGAGGAGGAGCTGAACGTCCTTGAAGAGGGCGATGGCAATCTCTTTCCAGTTCAACAACCTCTTGGCTCTGTTGAGCCTAACCCTGATGAGCTGGAGCAATGGAAGACAAGAGTCTCCCACTTTCACAAGGCGGCGGGACATCCCACCAACCGAAACTTAGCGAGGGTCATCAAAGATTCAGGAGCACCTGATTGGAAAGTCCGTGTAGCCCTGGAGCACTCATGTGAGACCTGCAAGTCCTTGAAGGCTGGCAGTCTTTCCTCAGGCCAAGTACCACCAGCGGCAACTCATGCCCTGCCGAAGGCGTGGCAAGTGATAGGCCTAGATGCTTTTGAGTGGACAGTTCCTGGCCTAAAGAAGAAGGCCAGATTTCTCCTGATCATTGACCTCGCTACCAAGCTGAGATCAGCGGTTTTGATCCGCACATACCCCGACAACACCATGCATGGGGAGTCCAGTGAGGAGGTGATTCAAGCTTTGGTTTCTGGTTGGTTAGCTCACTATCCCAAACCCGAGATCATCATTCCTGACAATGCCTCAAGTTTTGCATCTGCTTATTTTCATGAATTTGTGCTGGCCCAAGGTATAAGACTTCATTTTCCTCCGGAGAAGGAACCGTGGAGTCACGGCATTGTGGAAGCGGCTGGTAAGGATGTGAAGCATGTGGCAACGGCGATTCAGACTGAGTCGTTGGACAACACTCCAGAAATGACTCTTGCTTTGGCATGTTCAGCTTTGAACTCAACAGAATACACTGCATGTTTTTCAGCGCATCAATGGGCTTTTGGTTCTCATTATTCTATTTCTGATGAAGATGTGCGACTTTGGCAGGCTGTGGATCCTTCCAAAGAGTTCGTCAATGTGGCCAAGGCCCGACAAGATGCTGAAGAAATAGCCCGACAGTCTCGTGCCAAGCGAGTTCTGAGCAAGTTGTCCAACACCACGGTGAGACAACCCCTGAGGAAATTCTCCATTACTGACCTCGTCATGGTTTGGCGACGTGTCCAGACTGGGGAACACCACCAAGGCAACAGAGGTGGCCTCAAGAAGTCCAGTCGTCCACATTGGGCTGGTCCTGGCAGAGTTGTCTTTGCTGAAGCTATACCACACCAAGAAGGTGATGACACCAGAGAGCACATCATTTGGGTTTTGATGGGTCGAAAGCTCTGGCGATGCTCAGCGCATTCAGTACGGCCTGTCAATGAGACCGAGCGTCTGCAACATGAGCTCTTTGAGAAGAATGACCCGACACAATGGCGCACTTTGGCAGACATGCTACCTCAGAAAGAGTTCATTGACGTCACAGCCGAGATCCCATCACCTGATGAGCTCGAGATACCAGACTTGCCAACGGCACTGATGCAACTACGTATGCTCCAATCCGACGAGCCAGAGGCAAACAAACACTGGCTGATGCGGATTATCGACAAGTTCATCGCAGCTCACCACTTGGACTTCGCCAAGACGTACCTGCACCACATCATTTTGTACCTCTTGCAACTGGCTCGGCATCTCAGCCAAGTGTGATCGCTCCGGCGACCTCTTCGGCGACCTCGCAGCCTAGCGCGATTGCCCCTGCAACTTCTGCAGGCGCCAGCTTGCCGGTGAATGACTATGGTGCTGGTGGAGAGACTGCGGAAATGGTTGACGATTCACCACCTTTGACTGCATCAGAGGCCAAGAAGCAGAAGCTGGAGTTCTATGACCTCAAATGGGTTGAAACCTTGGAACAAGAAGCACCACATGAGATCACTGAGCATGATGTTCTCAGCTGTTTACAATCCTATGACGGGGAGTGTCTATGCTTTGAGCTGGACTTGGACTTTAGCTCCCACCGTCAGCAGAAGAACTTTCAGCGTGATCCTGTGCTATACCTTGTTCGCAAGCTCAACTCCTCAGAAGTTTCCTTAAAGAACTTGACTCCGGCTGAACGTGAACTTTTTGCCAGAGCAAAAGGGAAAGAGGTCAACTCCTTCCTCAAGAATGCGGCAGTTCGCAAGTGCATCGATGACAAGGAGGTGTCCAAAGCATTTGGTTCTGGCAGAATCTTGAAGGCCAGGTGGGTTCTCACCTGGAAGAATGTGGCCCCAGATGAGAGACATGACGCGCTCAAGGACCTGTCTGAGAACAAGAACACGGTGGTGAACGCGGATGCCACCAAGAAGGCCAAGGCGCGCATAGTTCTTCTGGGCTTTCAACATCCATCTCTTCTTGATCGCAATTTCAAAACCAGCGCACCAGTGATTTCTTCCTTAGGTAAGAATTTGATCTATACAGCTTCTACTTTACATCAATGGGAACTGCATGGTTTGGACTTAGCCACAGCATTTCTCCAAACGATGCCCACGGAAGCTGATGACAAGTTGTATACCACTGGTGTGCCAGAGCTTTGTGAAGCGCTTCAAGCACCTCCAGACTCTGTTTTGAGAATTCTCCGAAACATCTATGGTTCTACAACTGCACCTCGCGGTCTATGGTTGAGTCTCAACAAGACCTTGTGCGAGTTGGGAGGAGTGCCCACTTTAGGCGAGAGATGTCTGTGGTGTTGGTATTCAAAACATGAACGAGACCCATCTGGACATGGACCACGTCTCATCGGTTTGATGGGAGGACACGTGGATGATTTTCATAGGTGTGGTGATCAAGAAAGCAGTGAGTGGCAAGAAGTATGCCGTCACATTGACTCGGCATATCAGTGGGGCACCATCAAGAAGGGTTCATATAGACATGCTGGCAGTGATGTTCACACAGTTTTTCACAAAGATGGCAAGTTTAGCATTCGTGTCGAACAGTTTTCTTACGTTGAAACCATTGCCGATGTGGATATTGAACCTGAACGTCTTCGTTCTAACGGTCCTCTATCTCCTAAAGAAGTTGGCGCTTGCCGAACAGCTCTAGGTTCACTGCAGTGGCTTGCTGTTCAAACTCAACCCTTACTGACTGCCAGGTGCAATCTCTTGCTCACCGAGATCACCATGGGCGGCACTCTCGAGCACGCGCGCGAGATTCAGGCCATGATAGGGGAGGTGAGAAATAGTGCCACTGTTTTGGAGTTTTTTCCTTTGCCAGATGTCAAGAAGTGGGATGACATGGTTTTCATCAGCATGGGTGACCAGGCGCATGCCAATAGGAACCAAGGAGGTAGTACAGGTGGTATGATCCACCTCATCTCTGGTCCTTTGTCACTAGATGGTCGCGTCAGCAAGATGATGCTCATTGCTTGGCGCACCTGGAAGTTGAAGCGACGTGCGATTGGATCCAACGATGCAGAGGTCCAGTCCATCTTGGAAGCTGAGGATGTCAACTTCCGAGCTCGTCTTCTTTGGTCTGAAATTCATGGTGCTCGCTTAGGCAACCCTGGAGAGTACAGAGAAGATTTGGTCGATGTGACCGAGCGCTTGAGTCTTTTGGTGCGAGGTGTCCTATGCACCGACTCGAGAGGTGGATTCGACGCGGTGGAAGTGAACGAGAGCCCTTTGCTTGGTTTGAGCAATCTTCGTGCAGCACTGCAAGCCTTCCAATTGAGGGACAACCTCAAACGCTGCGGCAGCGAATTGAGATGGCTGGCCTCAGACTACGCTCTTGCTGATGCTCTTACGAAGAAGCGACCTGAGTGTAGGCTAGGTTTGCAGCGTTTTCTCCAAACATGGGAATGGGCCATTTTGTTTGATCCCACCTTCACAGCAGCCAAACGTAACAAACGTGTTGGCAAATCAGCCTTGGATCGATTTGGCCCAGTAGCTAATTTTTGTGTGGATGAAGAGTTGTTGACTGATGAAGAATGTTTACCGGTGCAACATTGGCACTTGAGTCAGTCAACATTCCATCCGCCACCGATGCTACCGGCTTCAGGGGCCCCTTTTTAGGCCTTGACCTAACCTGAGCCATTGGAGCTCTTCCGCGCTGTGGCGCTGGCAAAACAGACCTCTGTGGTCTTTGCGGCTTAGCGTGAGGTTGGAGAGGACTTTGGTGATTGGAAGTGTGTTCAGCATCCCCCAGCAAAGAGCCCAATACCTACTGCTGGCTACCACCGCTACAATTCCCCTCAATTATCGAGCTGACCATCAGCTCTTGTTTAATGGGTTTCAATATGTTATCCAGTGAAACCGTTTCAATGGCAGGATAACATATCATCTGGATAAATTATATCACTGCGACCTCACTGGAATCATGGTTAGTAAGGGAAATCATCCCCAAATGGCCTTCATTCAGGTTAGTGAATTAATATAGTATACCCAGATATCATCATTGAATGATGAGATCAATGTACAGGATTTTTGTGACCACCAAGGAATGAGATTATTAGAAGCATCGAGATGAGGCCGTGACAATGGAAAAACGAAGCCGATAATAAATATTAGAATATGTTTTACTTTTATTTGATAATATTGACAGTAGCTGATATCAATAATATTTAATAATAGATCAATAATAGACCAATCATATTTCATCATATCTATATACTATTCCATTATAACAAAATATTAAACATGGATAATATCCACAGTTCATATTTTCTATGGATATCTAATAGTAATAGAGTAATAGAATAATAATATCTATCGATGATTAATATTTTCGATATGTTTCATTACTATTACTATCAATATGTTCTATATGATTCATCCAAGGTGTTATATTAATAATAATAGTAATAATAATATCTATCGATGATTAATAGACATGGTTCCAACCAATATTTGATCATATCTATTATTCCATTCATTCATCTAATTCCATTGTTAGATTAATAATATTAATATCGGTGAGGAAATAGATGGTTAGATGGAACAATGGAATTTTATTAATCTAGTTAGATGGTGAATTCCATTGTTCATTGTTCTATTCCATTGTTAGATTAATCATATTAATAGAAATATCTATGGTTCATTATTAACATTAATAATATTAATTCCATTGCTAGATTAATAATATTACCCACATATTAATAGATTAAACATACAAGGTGGTGCCCCCCAAGTTATAAGTTGGTTTATAATCCCATTAACTATAGTTATAGGTACCATAAACCATAGTTATTGGAGTTATAAACCAACTTAGCTATCTAGGGGGTACCACCTTGTATCGATGGTTCATTTTTTTTCCAACCTTCTGACCTTCCCTTCGGCGCAGAGGCCCTGATCAAAGGCTTTGACCTGGTGGGTGTTCGCTCGGGCGCACAGCTGGGCCCGGACCTCAGGGGCCTCAGAGATCTTTCAGCATCTTTCAGCATCTTTTTGTCCAGAGATCTTCATGGGAAAATCTGGGAATTTGGGACATCTACAAAGTGGGGCCCCCTAGTTCGATAGCGTTCAGTTGTTGCAAATAACAAAAAAAACTATGGTTTATGGTACGCAAATAACGAACTAGTTATTGGAGCGAACCTAAACCAACTTATAACTAGGGGGCCCCACATTGTAGATGTTCCAAATTCCCATTGGTTGGTTGATGAAAATAGAGGGGTTTGAAGGTTTACCCCTGAAAAACAACAGGTTTCTATGATGATAGATGGGATTAACCAGTCACCGGCCCAAACCTATTTTTACCAAAAGGACATTATTGGATGGGAAATATGTAGGGAACCTCTGGGAAAATATGGAGAAACCATAACAAAACCCCCATGAATACTATAGTTTTATCTACCATAAACCATAGTTAAACCACTTATAAATATAAACCAGAGGGGGTTGTGCATTGGTCAATCATCTTCAAATTGCAACAAAAATGGGTGGTACTACACGGCTGTCGCTATGTATACCCTCTGGTAAACATACAAAAAACTATGGAAAAATCCACCATTGTTTCACTATTTCTATGGCCATTTTCAATAGCTATGTTAAATTACCAGAGGGTAATAGCTATGTATATTCAAAGACACACCCAAATGGCAGAGATCACCACGCTGACAGACTGAAGTGTCTGGTGTCTCGATTGAACGAAAAGTGGAAGTATCTCAACCAAGCTATGGACAATCACCATTTATTGTAGGTACATCATCTATTTCTATGGGTCATTTTCCATAGCAAACTGTCAAATAACCGGAGGGTAAGTTATAATCCACTTAGTAAGTGCGGTTACCCTCTGGTAAACTTTTACATAACTATGGAAACTCACCATCTTTTTCATAGGTAAATCAACTTTTTCTATGGCCATGGCTGAAATAACAAACTATTACTCATTACCAGAGGGTAAGTTTTTACTATCAGAATCCTTTGAGATAACCAGTGAGTCATCACTCTTTCACTTTTTTGATGTTCCCAAAAGAGCATCCAGAAAACACGTTGATTTTTCCCATAATCCAACAGCTGTACATGGCGGTACAGTACTTAGATGGGCCATGGAGTTAGGGACAATTTGTTAGTAACTGGGGTTAGTTTACGCCCTATATCTATCCCAATGAAATAAGCCATTTACTAACTAGTTTTGTTAACTCCATGGCCCATCTAAGTATATCATGGTGTTCAACCTTGAATCTGACATGTTCCCCAACCCCGAACCCCCAACGCCCAGAAAACACACTGCGCCATGCGTCATTTGCGGCGCCATCCGATACCCCATGGAGTACGGCGCCATCTGCGAGTCGCTGCAGGGCATCATCCGAGTCTGCGGCAGCTTGCGATTGGCGAACTGCATCGGATCCATGGTGTGACGTTTGTTTGTGCTGCCCCAGTTGTGTTTGTTGGTTAACACCCATCAGCAACTATAGAGATATCTAGCATAAACCATAGTTAACCATAGTTAACCATAGTTAACCATAGTTATAAGTTGGTTTATAAACCATAGTAACTATAGATAATTATAACATGATATAAAGGTGCTGCCCCAGTTCTGTGCTGTGAATGTTGGTGCATAGAAAAAACCCATCAACGTCATACTTAGATGGGCGAGTTAGCAAAACTATATAGTTAGTAAATGGCTTATTTCATTGGGATTTGTTGGGGGTATTCCCATTGATTAATCATATTCCACCTTATTCAATCATCATTCATTCATATCCCATTAATAAGGTATCAAGAATACTTGGTGGATCATCCCACATTGATCATCTGGTTGGTGGTTTGGAACATGAATGGATTATTTTTCCATTCAGTTGGAAATGTCATCATCCCAACTGACGAACTCCATCATTTTTCAAAGGGGTAGGTCAACCACCGACCAGTAATGATTTTAGAATTATAGCCATAATAACCATAATTGTGATATCACAGTCATAGTACAGCCATAACAATAACCATTGTGATAATATCATAATGATATGAATTATCATGATGATCATTATTACCATAGTATAGCCACAATAATCATAACCACTATGATATCCCATCAGAATTCTATAGTCATAAGCCACCCACTATCTGCCTTTCGACCCCAAGAACGGAGCGTGCTGCCGCTATGGGACATATCTATGGATCTCACTTTGTTTCTACGGCTCTTTTGCCACCATTTCTATCCAGTTCCATTCTTTCCATTCTCCTTGGGGCCAGCGTGGCACCTCACTTTGGGACGAACTCTCAACTCTCAACTATGACAACTATGAACTATCATGAACAAATGCTAAATAGCTATGGGTAAATATCATCTGGTTTTCCATGGTTACTATAGGCTCTCAACTCTCAACTATGAACTATCAACTATGGGGACTTTCCTAGTGATTTCACATAACTAGGGTTAGATCATCCACTATCAACTGGGGTGAACTCACCTACTCTCAACTATGAACATCTATGAACTATCAACTATGAACTATCATCTATATGAAGTTGAACTCTCAACTATGACCTGAAGGCTTAAAGACTAACCATCCGTGGCAAGTTCACCGACCATCCGTGGGATCCGTGGGACCCACCAAGGAACGGAGCGTGCGGCCGCCCTGGAGGCGCAGGCCCGGCAGGTCCTGGAGCTGCTGGCTGACGAGGTCACGCTGCTGCAGGCCATGGCGTTGACGTGCCAAGTGGCCTTGGATTGCATAGGCCGGGGCCGGGGATGGGAGGATGGGTGAAAATGTTGGGGATTTATTTTGGGGATTTTACAGGGATTTTGAAGAGATTGTTTTCAGGATTTATGGGGTGCAATAGGGATTTTTGAGGGATTGTTTGCAGGATTTATGGGGTGCAATAGGGAATTTACTATATAGATTGTAGGGAATGGAAGTATAGGGAAAATTATTTGGATTTTATAAGGAAATATAGGGCTTTTTAACTAGATAGTATAGGGATTTTATAGGGACGTATAAGGAATCATAGGAATTTAGAGAGATGGTGCAGGGATTACAGCAGGATGGGGCCCCCCAGTTATAAGTTGGTTTATAAACCATTATAACCCCCATTGACTATAGTTATATCTACCATAAACCATTGAATTCAACCACTTATAAACCAACTTAGCTATCTTGGGGGCCCCACCCTGAGGGATTTATTGGGATTTATACTTGGAAGATTCTTGGAAGTGCAGTTCCAGTGAACCAAGTGGATAGAGTTCACCATGGTTTTAATGGATATATCCCAACTTATGACAACTTATGGGGGTTTATGACCATGGGACCATGGTGAAAAAACCATTTGTAACCTCAACTGCACCCCCAAGTTAGGATTTGTTTTTCGGGATTTCTCAATGTTTGGTCATAAAACTTGGGAAAAAAAAATTAGTTCAGCTCAAACATCAGCCGCATTGTTTCACGAAACAAACAGCTGCAGGTTTGACCAAAGCTGTCGACCTGGAGTTGGCTTCGCAGATGATGGACTCTTAGAACTTGCCGGTGAGTTACGGGGATTGCTGGCATGTTCCCAATCATAAATCAACTAGAAATGGGGGTTTCCATAAATGGGGGTACCCTTAAAAATCCATCCATTTTAATACAGGATGGGGCCCCCCAGTTATAAGTTGGTTTATAAACCATTATAACCACCATTAACTATAGTTATATCTACCATAAACCATTGTTAAACCACTTATAAACCAACTGAACGCTATCTTGGGGGCCCCACCCTGTAGGATTGTCCCTCAAACAAACCATCCAGCGATAAAGGGTACCCCCATGTTCAGACACATCCAAATGGATAGCCTATTGGGAATCATGTGAATCTTTGTTGGACCATCTTTGGTTATTTAACATAGCCATGGAAAATCACATTTTTTATAGGTAAACCATCTATACATGGGCCATTTTCCATGGCTATGTTAAATAACCAGACGGTAATCTTTGGTGCAAATCTCAGTATTGTTGGTAATCCCCATCTATTTATTTATCTTTGTTGGGCCCCTATCTGTTGATGGTTGAAAGTCCACTAAGAAAGGGCCACCGTCAGCACAAAACATCAGGATTGGTTCATGGTTTGGGTCATCTAATTTGGAGAAACAAAGTCCATGTTTATCAAGTTGGTTGATTAGGGGAAGATAGTTTAGTGCACCAATTATCAAGTATGGTTCCCCCTGTAGTTAGTCCATATAATTTGTATGACAGTATCAAAAAAAATGTCGTATGTAAGATGGGCAAAAGTTGGATTGTATACCCATATTGGGGAATTTGCATGAATCCATTAATACTTAATTCGGACTCATATACCCATTCTGGTAGGTGGTTTCAAACATTTTTTATTTTCCATAATATATGGGATAGTCCTTCCCATTGACTAATATTTTCAAGATGGTTAAAACCACCAGCCGGATATTTAATACGGATTCATATACCCATTACAATGATTCCCATTCTGGGATGGATGACAGCACATGTTTTTTTTCCATCCTTTGACCATGGCACTTTCTTTTCATCATCATAGTTGGAGAGACAGAGTCCACTATGAACCAGTCTCAACCATATAAAAACCATATATAATATACGTATCTATATATATATATAGCAATACTATTAATAATATATGTTATATATATATATATATCATATAAACATTAAAAAACAACACATATAGATACCATTCCATGAACGCAATTTAGATACCCCACAACAAACATATCAAAAACATGTGTCGCTTTCAAAAACATATAGAACCAATTCAAAAACCATTCAAAAAACATACAAAATATTTAGAACCCATATCAAAATCATATTAAAACTTAAAACCAACAAAAATCACATGAAAACCTCCATGAAATCACAATTTTTCGTGAGATTTTCCAGGACTGCTTCGATGAAGAGCTGGCGTTGACGGTCTGGGGCTTCAGCGTTGAGCTGGCGCAGGTCATTGCACTCAGCCGCTTTTCGTGCAGTTTTGGTGGGGGTGAAACACGGGAGAAAAACAGGGTGGGAAGAATCCAAAGATGGCGGTATTATATGTTTTATTATGTACACATATATATTTATATATACATACATACATATGTATATATATATACATATATATATATACATATATTTAAATAAACATATATACATATATAGATATGTATAGGACTTGATGATTTAAACATGAAAGAAATGGTTGATTTTGCCTCGAACTAAGATAGCTATGGAAATTAAGATTTCATATTACTTAGTCTTCCAAAGTAGTGATTTATCCATCAACAATAGTGGTGCGTTAAGCGTCAAAAATTGGGGTGTAGCATGGTTTAAGATGTCTGAAAAGAGAATCATTCGTCGAACAATATGCCCTCTGGTAATCTAACATTATGTTTATGGAAAATCACCATTTATACTGGGTTTTCCCATGCAAAATAGTGATTTTCCATAGTTTTTTGTATGTTTACCAGGCCGGGTACAGAAGAAGAGAACATCCCAAACTGAACAGCATGGTACAAAAAACATGACCCATCGTGGACAATTGGTACAGGATGGGGCCCCCAAGATAGCGTTCAGTTGCCTAAAAACAGTTTCTTAACTATTATGGTAGATATATGATATTAACGAACTAGTTAATGGCTTTTGTTTCCTGGTTAATACAATGTAGGGCCCCCTAGTTATAAGTTGGTTTATAAACCCCAGTAACTAGTTCGTCATAAGTACCATAGACCATAGTAACATTGGAGTTATGTTCACCAACTTAGCTATCGTTTGGGGGCCTCACTTTGTAAACCAACACAAACAACTGAAGGTCACCATGGATCCCAGTTTCCTGTCGCAGTGTTTCGATTCTGATCCCGTTTTCATGGTCGATTCAACCGGATCCCGTTTTTGCGCCTGTTTTCTGCCTGAAAGCATCGGTCGTGTGTCGCCAAAAAAAAAAAACAAAAAATGTGGTTAAAACAGATGTTGCGTCTTCAAAATTACAAAATCAGTGTCAAAACAAAATCAAATTCTATTTGTTAGCAAATGTTAACAAGGACACAATCCATCTGTTTTGTTCAAAAACCTGTGGTGCCCCTCAGGTTTGGCTGCCGTCGCTGGTTTGCTTGATCTTGGCTGCTCGCCGTTTTTTCGGGTTTTTATTGGGGAGTCAACCAGCCAAAAAAGGGCCCAAAAATTGCAACATGCAAAGCATGGCTTAATGATGCAATAGTTAATTATGGTTGCAATTTTTAATGATGGTTAATAATGGTTAATAATGATGGTTTTTCTACTTGCTGACCATGGTTAATCAATCTTAATTGCATCATTAATCATGGTTAATAATTCCTATGGATCCAAACACTCTCTGAGAATGTACTTAACCCTCCAAATTATAGTAAATTATACCCCAAACACTTCCTAAGAAGGTACTTGGATCCATAGGGAATGATCATTAGTGTTGATTTGGATCTGTCAACTGCAACATGATTTGGATTTGTCATATGCTACTTTTCGTAGGGAAAATGATGATGAACCCATGGACTGTTATTGATTTAGAGCCAATTTTCAGAGAATCCTATGTTTTTTGCTAGTGGTTTGACACTGGTTGACACTGGTTAACACTGGTTGACACTGATTACTGGTCAAATTGATATATGTTTTCTTTTATATATATATATTTATTTATTTTACCATTACTGCAGCTCATGCCTGGCTAGTAGCCCACTGGCCAGTATCCCCAAGCTCATGTATGATCAATACTGGCTGACCATGGTTGATTTCAACTTGGTAATTTACCATCAGGCCATGGATCTTGGGTCGATCTTGCACGAGTACAAGACTTGTCAAGATCACCAGCGGCATCCTCAACACAATCATTCACAAAACCCCCAAAAAAACAACAGACCCAGCGAAATTTCATCAACCCACAAGCCCACTGCTGATGAATCACTATTAATATCAACCACCATATCAACCATGGACCATGATTAATCAATATCAATTAATTTATAACTAGATATAACTAGCTAACTTATTGTATAATTAATTGATATATATATATACAATCAATATTAATCATGGTAAATATTGATTACAGAATAACCATGATTCATATTTATCATATATCAATCATGGATCATGATCAACCGTTTAGAAAACCACAAACTATCAAGCATGATCAACAATGATTTTCATATTTATTAACAATGATTTACCAGGATTAACTGTTAATCACTGTGTTGATTAATATTGATTAATATTGATTAATATTGATTAATATTGATTAATATTGATTAATATTGATTAATATTGTTAATCAACATGATTTTCATATTGATTAAGAATATTAATATTGACAATGATTAACAATATTAATATTAATATGTGATTTACCATGATTTACCACTGTATCAATATTGTTAATATTATCCATTACAGTGATTAATATTGATTTACCATTAATATTGATTAACAGTGATTAATATTGATTTACCATGATCAACCAGAACGCCATCACTGTATCCTATCCTCATGATCCTCCCATTCTAAGTGCGGGCCATCGGGCCATCCATGAGGTCATCACGACATGAACATCCCGAGTCATCGCTACGCCAAGCGCTCAATGATTGCACCATACCTGGAACCTGTGGCGGTGGATTTCGACGTCATCGCACCACAGGTTCGGTCGTGATGCCATCTTTCGGGTGATGCCATCCAGGGGGGGATGAGGCATCCAGGAGGATGAGACATCCTAACTGTAAGAAATTACCACAAAGTAGGGCCCCTTCGATAGCTAAGTTGGTTTATAACTCCAAGAACTATGGTTTATGGTACTTATCACTATAGTATACTATAGTTATTGGGGCTTATAAACGAACTTATTACCAGAGGGTAATGGTTAATAATGGTGAATGGTTAGGTGTTATTATGGTGTTATTATGTGTTATTTCACCATAGTTATAGCCAATTGTTGGGAATATGTTTAACATAGTTGGGATATAAACCATAGTTTGCTAATGGTTCATAATGGTGAATGGTTATTAATGGTTAATAGTTTTGATAGTTAATCATAGTTATTGATGGTGATGAATGGTTGGTTAATAATAATGGTTAGCAAACTGTTAAACCCTCTGGTAAACATACAAAAAACCTATGGAAAGATCCACCATGCTTTTAATTGGTAAATCAACAAACTAAATGGCAATTATGAACGGAGAAGGTTGGGACTGGTTTGACTCTCGTTTTTGGCTGAGTTTTTTTTTTGCTATTTTGGTTGGGAAACTGACTGCTAAAATTCAGAATTGCTATTGGTTTCGATCTATGATGGCTGGTTGGTGGTATCACACATTTTTTATTTTCCATAATGTATGGGATAATCTTTCCCATTGACTAATATGTTTCAAGATGGTTAAAAACCACCAACCAGATGGGGATGTTCTTCAACCCAGGGGTATCCTCAGCGGAAACCGTCTCCACTTCCAGGGTCTGCTGAAGGTGATGTTTTTTTTTTTAAATCAATGGTAAATCCGCTAGAAATATGGGGAACCTGGAGGTACTATCCTTGTGATGATCTTTGTGTTGGCGTTCCACAAGCAAATCCAAGATTTTCTTGCTACAATAGTTCAATTTGGAACCCCTTCTTAAATCTTTTTGATTGAACTGTATTAAACTCACCTGGCTTTATGACATGTTGGACCGTTGGACCCCCGCAATTCGCGTTCCCATGGCCCAAAATGGGTTTGCCTGTGTGACCCCGGCCTCAAGGTGTATGCTGCCCTATGTCGATTTGAGTTGGAAAACAGCACCAGAGAGGAGCGAAATTTGGTGCACGCCTTTCAACAGATTCCTGGATTTCTTACGAGTCGATGATGGTCTTTTTATTGGCAAAACTCAACCTTTTTTGAGGAAATCTATGGATCTATAGGGTTTGCATCCAGATATTGGGTTTGATATCTATATATATATATATGTATACATCACATTATACATATATGTATATGTACAAGACATTTACACATCCATCCATTGTTTGTTTGTTTGTTTGTTTGGGAGGAGTTCCATCCTGTGCCAAGGATTTGCATCTGGATATTGACCATCCTGCTGCGCGGCGCCAAAATGTCTCGGCTTTTCATGTTGTTTGGCCATGCAATAGGATCCGATTGATTGGAGGTACCTACCATAGAAAAAATGCTTATGTAAGGCTTATGTAAGGCTTATGTAAGGCTTATGTAAGGGAATATCCCCACAAAATATGGCCAAACATATGGTACACTACCTCCATTTTAAAGGATCCTGGAATTCCCATTGATTTCATGTTGTTTATTCATCTGGAATTGTGGTTTAGATACTTAGATGGGCCATAGGAAAAATGCCATTCCTGGTTAGTAACTGACGTTTGTTTACCCCCAAAAAATCCCAATGAAATAATCCATTTACTAACTAGTTAACTAAGTTAGCTATCCAGTCGTGAACGGAGGGAGCGATTCGGAGCTAGGGGGAGCTATAATATTCCCAACAAATATTCCCTATTCAATGGGAAGCCAAGGAGCTACTTAGAGTTTCACAACCATCAAATAGTTATTCATCTGAAATTATGGTTTAGATATGGGGAATCATCCTTAATTATCTTAATTCAGATGAGTGAAATATGATAATTTACCCAGATTCATTTAGGTTTCTACCCGGATTCATTGAGGTTTGTCCATGTTTGTCCTAAGATCCTTTCCTACGAACACTTAGGGCGGAATAAGTGAAGCGATCGCTTCATCCTTCATTCTGTTCGAATTGCTTGGGTTGTAGCTTTGAAACTACAAAAATATTGGGAACATGAAGCCCAACTGCAAAATACGAGACGCGACTAAACACTGAACTCAACCCAACTCAACCCAACTAGCACTTAACTCAACTTAACCCAGCAAAAAACCCAAGAAACCTGCACTTCATTACTTCACTTCACTCAATTCCAGTTGGTCCCGGAACCCCCTCCATCCAGACGTTGCGCGTGATCCAGGTATCGTTTCGAAGGATCTGGCATCGAAGCGGCGAATTTTTGGGATTGGAGTGGCGGCGATCCTCACTGGGCGACATGGCGACATGGAAAACAGAACGGAAAACGGAAGGATTGGTGGACGATGTTTCCTAAAATAATGGCTTATTAAAAAAGAAAGCTAGATTCCATTCCAATAATATCAATGGTGAACATATCAATATTCCTAATGATGACGGAAATCTGGTGACGATGTTTCTAGCTTATTTTCGTGGCATAATGTGGACATTTACTGGGAATATGAATATGGCAATATCATATACAATATACCCTGGTTGGTGGTTTGGAACATTTCCTAAAATAATGCATGGCTTATAAATAATAAGCTAGATTCCATTCCAATAATATCAATGGTGAACATATCAATATTCCACATGGTTATCTGGTTGGTGGTGACTGGAACATGAATGGATTATGACTTTCCATTCAGTTGGGAAATGAAAAATCATCCCAACTGACTTTCACTCCATGATTTTTCAGAGGGGTTGGGTTGAAACCACCAACCAGTCTAGCTTCTGCTCATGGCTTACTAATGGAACATTGATACAATGTGGGGCCCCCTAGTTATAAGTTGGTTTATAAGCCCCAATAAATATAGTTATAAAATGTCATAAATACCATAAACCATATATAGTTATTCGAGTTATGTTCACCAACTTAGCTATCGAACGAGGGCCCCACTTTGTATGTTCATGGCATGCCATGTGGACTTTTTTTTATCTGGGATGATTCATGGACTGGGACCAGTCATGGAATGGCCAGAAACCCATGAAAGATTATGACTCAACCTTTGTGGATTTTTGGTGAGTTACCCGGCCTGGTAAACGTTTGCAAAAAACTATGGAAAGATCCACCATTGTTAATGGGTAAAGCAACTATTTCGACTGGGCCATGTTCAATAGCTATGTTAGTATGTTTACCACTATTTCGACTGGGCCATTTTCAATAGCAAACTGTTCGCTTGCCAGAGGGTATACAATGACTCGTTACATGGCGCCTTTTTCGACTTCTCCGCTATGGCAACATCCACCGTAGGCGATGGTTCTGGGCAAAGGAGTCCTGGCATTTCAACAGGCGGAGTGGGATGGAGGGAAGGAGGGGCGCCTTTTTTTTGGGGGGAATGAACAATGCTGAGAATGGCATGAAAAAGTGGGATGTAAGTTTTAATGGACATTTACTGGGAATATGAATATGGGAATTATGGGAATATCATATACAATATACCTGTTTGGTCGTTTGGAACATTTTTTGTTTTTTCATATAGGGAAGAATCATCCCAACTCACTTTCATATTTTTCAGAGGGGTAGGTATACCACCAACCAGATTAACATATTCTACGGATTTCTATGGTTGGAGAATGGTAATAGATGGATCTGAAACATATTCTATGGTTGGATAATGGGTTGGAGAATGGTAATACATGGATATTATGCAATTATCCAACATTATCCAATTTTGTCATATACCCTCTGGTAATTTGACAGCTATGGAACATCACCATTTCAATAGTTATCGCCCTAAGGCCATGGCTTCCATATGGAAGGTATACCCTTGCTGAATTCCATCTAAATCCTCCTGGGATTCCTATAGATTTGCTGTTTTTTTTGTGGACAATATTGGACAATCCAAATAAACCGGACAATAATCCGATAAATCACATGTTTAATGGGTAAAATCACCTATAATCCAATAAATTCAATAATCCAATAACTACAGTATATGGATTATCACCATTTTTAATGGGTAAATCAACGAACTAAATGCCCGATGGAATACATGAGGAAGTGTCCAGCATCACTTCAGCGGCCGCTGGGCCGACGTGGAGCTCGAGGAGGTGCGTTTGGGGTGATGCACTGACAAGTGCACCTGAATCGCTTGCCTTGCTGCATGCCAGGCATCGGTGCCTCTGGAGGCACGGCTGCTTGGCTGAGGTAGTGACACAGAGGCTCTCTATTCGCGGGACGTCTTCGTGGGCGCCGCGTTTTTGGCTGGAATCCAGCTGAATGACAAGGTGCGGCCCCCATGGAATGACGGAAAAAGGGGGAAGATGCCTCGGACCAGTTACGAACCTATACCCAAAGGAACATCCCCATATTAAAGATGATTGCATGGGAATATGGATTTGAATTATTTTTGATCCATTGCCAGCTTTGCTCTTTCTGACCCCCCTACCTACAAACCTGTCAACTAGGATGAGGTAGTTGCAAACACATCACTATAAAGCGTCGATACAGTAGATTCGGATACAAGATTATATGGGCCGACACAGTAAACAACACGGTCGTTGGTGAACATGTCAAGATGACGAGCATCCTGTGAACATTGATGAAGAGAAACTTACTCGGTGCCAGGGTACCAAGTTCCACTTGACAATGTGACGCGGGCTGGGGATGGTCAGGGAAATTGTTTCACTTGTGAAATAGTGAAAGAACTGACTTTAGTTCTGAGATTTCCTAGCATTAGTAAACCTGAGATGGGGATACATTGATATTCACAATTCAACTTACGGACAAGAATCAGCGGTGATACGCGACAATATTTGGCGCTCAAAATGTCTATCGATCCTGGAACTGATGAAGTTGATTAAGAGTCATTTTTAGTCGCAAGACTGGGGTTGCGACCCGATGGCTGCATTTTGACATACCCCTATTGTTACCTAGCATACCTGAGTCATAAAGACCAGTGTCTGCACTCACCTCATGGGTCATCATTCAGCAGGTGATGCAGCAGCGTCTTCAGCGCATGATACTTGAAAGATAGGGACATTCCACTGACAAAATCTGACTATGAGTATCACCAGCAAAACAGGCGAGAATCAACCAACTTATGGAAATTTGGTCAATTCACATGTTGTTAGCGTTTATGTTTGCATTCATATGATTTCTACTTCGGCACGCCCAGACAAGGTTTGTGGAGTTACATTCTCACAGCTAATGTCCCCTGTACCTATGTTTGCGGTGTCAAAGCCAGTAAAAGGGAATGCCTGTGTTGATATTTTGGGTGTGGGGGGTGCACTTCCACACATACGTCATGCTACGCTGCTGGGCATTGTCTTGCACTTCCACACATATGTCATATGTGTCTGTAAATATCTTTCTGGCATGACAGGCAATGTCCTCGACAAACTCGGACAACTTTGTGTTTGAAACCCCAAAAAAGGAACACTTCCACGAAGCTCTCCGGACACAAAATTACAGTAAATTACAGTTTCGTTGTGGTAAAACACTATAGATTATCCAATTGAGGCGACCTCTCCAAGGAATTTAAATTACGAATTTACTGAAGAAAAATAAATATACCCGGCGGACCGATCACCGGCCCATGATTTTAGGAAAATTCTGTTTTGGCCACAGCGGCGTGCATGTTTCATGGTAAAAAAGAGTGTCATGAAAAATTACAAAATTCAAGTGGTTCGTGAACCCTTACAGGGTTTTGTGGTCAAAAAGGGTGCGAACTGAACTCACCTCTTTTTCAGAGCAACGTAACTGCAAGTGGCGTAGCAACTGCAACGTAACTGCAAGTGGCGTAGCAAGTGCGTGACAAAGCAACTGCAACGTAACTGCAAGTGGCGTAGCAAGTGCGTGACAAAGCAACTGCAACGTAACTGCAAGTGGCGTAGCAAGTGCATGAAAAAGCAACTGCAACATAACTGCAAGTGGCGTAGCAAGTGCGTGACAAAGCAACTGCAACGTAACTGCAAGTGGCGTAGAAATTGCGTGACAAAGCAAGTGCAAGGTACGTTAATACCCCACCCCACCCCACCCCAACCCCACCCCAAACAATATCCACAAACGTAGCAAGAGCGTGACGAAGCAACTGAAACGTCACTACAAGTGACGTAGCAAGTGCGTGACGAAGAAAGTGCAAAGTAAAGAGTAGTGGCGTAGCAAATGCGTGACAAAGCAACTGCAAGGTACGTTAATACCCCACCCCACCCCACCCCAACCCCGCCCCAAACAATATCCACAAACGTAGCAAGAGCGTGACGAAGCAACTGAAACGTCACTACAAGTGACGTAGCAAGTGCGTGACGAAGAAAGTGCAAAGTAAAGAGTAGTGGCGTAGCAAATGCGTGACAAAGCAACTGCAAGGTACGTTAATACCCCACCCCACCCCACCCCAACCCCACCCCAAACAATATCCACAAACAAAGCAAGAGCGTGACGAAGCAACTGAAACGTCACTACAAGTGACGTAGCAAGTGCGTGACGAAGAAAGTGCAAAGTAAAGAGTAGTGGCGTAGCAAATGCGTGACAAAGCAACTGCAAGGTACGTTAATACCCCACCCCACCCGCCCCAAACAATTCCACAAACGTAGCAAGGCGTGACGAAGCACTGAACCGTCACTACCCGTAGCACGTGACGAAGAAAGTGCAAAGTAAAGAGTAGTGGCGTAGCAACCGTGACAAAGCAACTGCAAGGTACGTTAATACCCCACCCCACCCCACCCCAACCCCACCCCAAACAATATCCACAAAGTAGCAGAGCGTGACGAAGCAACTGAAACGTCACTACAAGTGACGTAGCAAGTGCGTGACGAAGAAAGTGCAAAGTAAAGAGTAGTGGCGTAGCAAGTGCGTGACAAAGCAACTGCAAGGTACGTTAATACCCCACCCACACCCACCCCCAACCCGCCCCAAACAATATCCACAAACGTAGCAAGAGCGTGACGAAGCAACTGAAACGTCACTACAAGTGACGTAGCAAGTGCGTGACGAAGAAAGTGCAAAGTAAAGAGTAGTGGCGTAGCAAGTGCGTGACAAAGCAACTGCAAGGTACGTTAATACCCCACCCCAACCCCACCCCAACCCCACCCCACCCCATAAACGTGGGCCGGTAAACGGTCCGCTAGCAAAAATAAGCACGTGCAAATTATTACAGTGTACTACAGTTTCGGACATGTCCACCATCATCCTGTGATTGTCTGATGTCATCACCGACACGGCCTCTTACAGGCGTTGGCACCATGTAGTGGGGTTCAGTACTTGAGGTCACAACCCGTTGGATCTTTTTTGGAAGAAACTGACTGAGAGCGGGCAAGTTTTGCTCTCCACATTCGTTCTTCAGTTCTATACCCCACTTTGTAATCATATCCACAGCTGTGTTCTTTCTGCATTTTCATTGGATTCATGTCGAACTAAGGTTGGTAGCTTCAGATACTCTAGGATGTTAAAGTTGAACGAATGCAACAATATGAGCGTATTAGTTGGGCGGGTGAATTTGCCAAAGTTGGCCGAAATCGCGTCCTGCTTGTGTTTTGTGAGTTAGTTAATTCAATTAGTTGAATTTCTCATGGGTTTGGCACTGATTGTAATTTAGACTGACATCGCAGTTAGGTTGGTATTCATTGTCCCCACGATGCGATGATGTTTAGATTCATGATGTGAGTCTTCTGCATGAAATTGAAACACTGGCTCTCGATTGGAAGCTGCATTCTTGAAATAGGATTTGGGGTTCAAGGCAAATAGCTCGGAAACAATCCATGCAGACTCCTGTGAAAAAACGGCTGTGTGCTGATGATCCAGCATCTGCAGAGAAGACAGCTCGCTGCACTGAACGCCGTGGTGTCGATTTGAGTTCGGATCATTGTGTGGCATCGGTGCCACCACTGCATTCGGGGGTAGTATGGGTTCAATGGTGGATTTCAACTGCAGGTTCTATATTCTAGACCAAAGAAACAGTGACCAACAGCTGGGTGAGTTTGTGGTCTGTGTTGTTTAGGGTTTGTGGCTCACCAGTGCATTCTTGATTTGTTCCCCAGCTGGCAGGTGAGGGTCTCTTGATTTTTAACACAGGTGCAACTCCTCACTCTTGACCCACTACTCACTCACTTCTTCTCCTCCTCACCGCTGTCTTGTTGTTCTCCTCCTCTGCCAGCTCTGGATGCTGCTGGGCCACGCCTCGACCCGAACACATGCGAGAGAGAATGTCAGATAGCATGCCAAAAAGAATGATGTACCGCGCAGCCAGCCAAAAAAAATCTCTGGGCTAGTGCCCACTGGCTACAGCCAGCTAAGAATTTAAGCCAGGCAAATCTTGAAGCCTCTGGGGGTAAGGACAAAGAAATTTAGCAGGGTTACATGGGAAAACAAGTTTGAAATCATTTGCTAGCATGATGCATATGAGGAGCTAGTGCCCCTGAATTTTAGTCAATACAAGCTTTCTGTAGCCAAGTATGTTACACACGCAACTTTTTTTTATTTAACCAGCATAAACGTGACATTTCTCATTTTCTCATTTTCCTCCCGTCAGGGTGGGGATCACCCGAAATAAAGTATATAGTTTTTGTATTGGCGCTTGATGTTCTGAAACATCAAAAGGTAAAGATTCCAAGAGTTCAGCGGATGTGATCTATAGCACACTGACCTCAGACACATAGATATTGTATCAGCTTGATTTACTGTATTTTGTAACACGTAATTCTCTGTTTATAGAATATTGTATTAGCACGTTTTTTTACATTACCTTTTGATCATTATCATTGTCCTGAATTATCGCTTTTGATCATATTTGATGTTTGTAGTATGTTGATTTTTATCGTATAATATCACTATAATTTGATATTGCCATATCATTTAGCACCATATTGTATAATATGCGAGCGCCCTTTTTGCGCATGCTGCTTCTCCCTCGTTGCTTGCTTCATCTTTTCTCCCCCTTCTCCCTTCCCCCCAGCAACTCCAGGTACGATGCGGACTTCTACGTGGGCAAGGACTTGGTCGACCTCGGTCTACAAGGTGCCGGGTGTGTTTGCGCGTGTGTGTGTCTCCTATCCCTCCCATCCTTCCTCCGCCCCCTTTGCTTGCTGTCCACGCGTCCTTGCCGCGTAGGCGTATATACGCAAATATAATCATATAGTCATACAGTCATACATATATACAAGCGCATAAGCACACATACACACACATATGTATATATATATATATAGATGCAGACAAAGGAACGAACGAGCAAAGAAACAGTCACTGACGCATACTATTCTGCCACATCATCTTCTTTTTGCCATCCTAGTATTTGAGATTATGCTGCTGCGGCCTTTTCATGATAATGAAGCCGATGGCAAGCTCATTCGTCATGAGGTTTCCATGCACACAGGGAAGGTTTTGTGCCAAGAAGGTTGTGTGCCAAGTGTGTCTTGCTGCCACTCCGGATGGCTCTAAGGACCAATGCCAAGGGGACTTCGCAAGATTCGTGCAGCAACAGCACTCTGATGCATTTGCAAAGTTGAAGACAATGAAGCCAACGTCCAAGCGCGCAGTGCCGTCCAAAGTGCCTGCCGAAGTGCTGGCCTGCAAGGTTTGCAATGCGAAGAAGCATAGCTGTGCATGGTGCTACTGTAGTGAGGGAAAGCGTACGAAGACCAAAGGGGGTAGTTGTTACTGTTGTTACCAAGCTACCCGTCTTCTCCAGTGTTCTCGCTCAGTCGAGCTGTTGCGGTCATCGGGTGTGATCAAAGCTGTTGTAGTTGTGTCTGCAAGGGTTCGAGCCAACAAAGGCGAGGCAGACAAGTGCGGTTGCTACAAATGTACCAGTGCTGCTTCTGCCTCCGTTTAGGGGCCGTGAAAGCACGGATCCTTTTGTTGCAGGAGGTCTTGGGGTACACCTCCGTTTCGAGTTCAGTCATTCATGAGATAAAAAGAATTCCTGCACACAGTATTTCGAATGTCTACGGGCCCACAGTCGCCCACAGTAGGGAATTCCAACAGAGGATAGATATATGATTTTCATCAACAGCTCTGAGTGCTTTGGAGTGCGGTAGTGCATTGCGGATTTGTCCTTCTTGTCTTCCAGTCTCTTGTTGTCAGAAAAGCTTGGCGTTCCAAAGTGTTCATGTGTTGCTGAAGTCTGCATTGTATTTCCGCAACATCAGTTTCACACAAGGATGAAGAAAATGTTGGCAGTACAATGCTGCTGACTGTAGTTAATAAGAGCAATCCATGAGAAGAGGCTAGGAGCATTGACCTCGCATTGCTGCAGACAAGCATGAAGTATTGAAGCCGATTTTCGTGATTCATGCACTTAGTGGCCCAATGGCGCCTCCACTGAAGCTCTCCAGCTCCAAGGTTATACGCTTGCCGCAGCATGAAGTTTTGGAACAGATTGACGCCTGGAAGCTGACCATACCAGATGGTGCAGATGATTTGGACATTAGGGCAATCCTGGCACGGGCTATGGCCGGCAAGCCTCCATTAGTTGCTCCTGCAACTGGTGCTTTAGTTTCGGCCGACTCTAAGCAACCCGAAGTCCCGAAAGGACTGGGGTCTGGGTTTTCGCATCCCCCGACGTCGTTCGATACGTCGTTCGGACGTCGTTCGGACGTCGTTCGAAACCGCTTCTAGCATTAACAAAAAAACAATGTGTTCAACAGGTTTTGTTTGAGTTAGTTTGGCTCCACATTGCCATTCCTATCACATGGTGCCAGGAGAACCACCACCTCTACCTCCGCCTGCTTCGCCGCCGCTCGACACATTCCAATGTGAGGGTTGCCATGAGCATGTGGACATGAATTGCAAGAGCGTCTTACCTCTTTGGTGCCAGGCATGTTTTGACAAGGAGCTTGCCGCTAGGCAGCGAAAGTGTGCTAACTGCCAGAATGCGGTGGGATCCAGCAATGAAAATCTTTGCCCAGATTGCCGTCAAGCCCACGCTGAGATGCAGGAACACATGCCCGAGGTTGCGGAAGCTTTGCCGCAACTGATGGCTCTGGCTGCAGCAGCTGAATGCTCTGGCGTGCAGTTCCAGGCTGCCACTGTCGAGCATGCAGCTCCTGAGCGTGGCTGGGTCAAGCTGTCCCGGGAGTCGGAGATGAATTGGTTTGCGCGGGTGCAAGCAGTCCTTGATGGGTCTGCGAAAATGTCACGGTCTACTTATCACCATAGATGGAAGAATGAGTTCTCAGATCATGACAAGCAGAGATTCAGGCAACAGATGTTCCAGCGCCAACACCCTGATTTACCTGCTCCAGCAAAAGCGCCGGAAATTGAGCCTCTTGTTGCTGCTGCTTCTGCACCTGATGAAAGTTCCTTCGGTTCGGACATGCTGCACATCGATGAGGACCATGCGCAGTCACAGTGTTTAATTTTTTGTGCTAGCCCCCTGATTTTTGGTTTGAGCTTCACGTTTCCTTTTTACATATCGATTACATGGAAGGACTACAGTGCAGAGACTCTTTTGCAAGAATACGGAGACATTTCTGCGACTCACGAGGTGCGATTGCAGCACGACCAACAGCGATGGGAACTCTATGGCAAGTTCCTTCTACTCCTGCAAGCTGGCAAGGTCAAGAGAACCGATTTGGATGCTGGGGGTTGCTTGGAATCTTTGCATATGAGCCGGAAGAAGCTCAACCAAGTGAAGATTCATGTGGGTTCCGGCGGCGTTCCAGCCACATGCCCTGCACCTTTCAGGACTGGTCGCTCGCCGGCGCTTAAGATGACAGAGCACGAACGGCGCGACTTGCTGCGATACATCGAGTACATGGCCAAGACGGGGCAAGGCTTGAGTGTTCCACAATGTCAGCACCTTCCCCTTGTATAAGCTTTGTTTTGCTGCTTCCAACTTTTACCATAGTTTTGGGAGAGTTGTTTATTTGCCTAGTCTGTGCCCTCGCAATCTGTCAGGCAAGCCGTCACCATCCTGCAGATGGAGAAGCAAGGTATCTTTGAGCATGGTTTGTCTGCTGGGGAAGCCTTGGCAAGGGTCGAGGAGATGGGTCACATCTACGATGTCTCGGCAGCATGGCGGGCATTCAAGGACTGGGTGAAGGCTACTTGCCCTAAGACATCATGGTTGGAGGTTCGTAACCTACGGTCCAGAACTTTGCCCGAGCACTCTTCTTGCACCCCAGCGGTGGTGACGCAGGCCATCAATCGGCTAGAAGACTTGCTCGTCGAAATCGGAATCATGGATGAATCCAAGACCATCATTCCAACGGAGGCAAGAAGATTAGTCTGTACCGACGAGAAAGGATTTTCTCAACGTACAGATTCCACATACCGCGCAGTGGTCCCCAAGGGTTCCAAAGCTGTTGGCCAGAAGCCAGAAACAGGTTGGGAACACATTACGCTTTGCTCCTTTCTTCCGCTTGCTGGAAGCTCTTACCCAGTGGGCATAGTTTGTCCAAACAAGCGTGTGCATCCCGACTTCTCTGTCGCTTGCCCTGGTGCCTACTTTTGGGGCAACGAAGGTGGCTCCAACACGAGCGAAAGTTTTGCCTACTTTGTCCAGGAGTGCTTCGGAAAGGTTGCACGGGAGCAACACCACATTCCTGAGGACAATGCGCTATGCCTAGTCCTTGATAGTGGAGGAGGATCCCTCCTCCACTTGTCTGTTGGTCTAGTGCAAGTGTGCCTGAAGCTGAATATAAGGTTGTTTTATCTTCCGAGCTATACTACCCGTTGCTTGATGGCATTGGACCAAAATGCTCATCAATCCATGTCAGACAGCTGGAAGAAGTTCAAGCAACATTGGAGCAGCAAGAATGAGAAGCTCTCCCTGTTGGGTGCTTTACGTGCAATTCATTCGTTCCTCCCCACATCTTTGTCTGAGAAAATGGCTGAGATTAGCTGGAGGCGCATTGGGGTAGCGTCAGGCCAGCAGTGGGACAGGAACATCTTGTTTGTCGAAAGGGCTGCAGAAATTTTCAGCACAGTGCGCACTGAAGAGGCGCAGCAGACCTCCACCACAGCCTTGGCAATTTTGCAGAATGTTTCGCCTTCGAAGTCCAAGTGCACTGGCTGTGGACAGATGTTGGCTAGCAACATGAAACTCTGCTTCACCTGCGGAAAGCCAAATGATGCCTACAAAGAGGAAGATTACAAGGTGCACAAGTCTGGATGGCGGTCTGGATGGAAAAACAATCCAACGTTTGAACCTCCTGCGGTGTCTGAAAAGGAAAAAGAATTGCTGAACCAGGTGGATGACCTCACCCTGGCATTGCGAAAAAGAAAAAGTAAAGCTGAATCGGCAGAAATTCCGGGCGGGCAAGGAGAACCTGTGCCCCAACCTGCCGCCAAGCAAAGCAAAACTTCAGGGGCAACCCAGGAGCCTGCGCACGAGCCTGCGCCATGCCCAGAAGAGGAAATTGATATCGGTAATGACGAAGGATGTGTCCAATACATCGTCGCTTCTTTTCCAGCGTGCGACAGTGACACTGTACAGCCAGTTGCTGAGCACTATGTTGCCTCTTTGAAGTCTAAGATTTGCAAAGGGAATCCTCTTTGGAGCGTGTTCAACAAAGAAGTCATAAAGGGAGGCCTGTTGTCTAGCAAGGCTGGACGCAAGGCTTGGTTGTCAGCTCATAAATCCAATCGCGAACAGCGATTCGTCAAGGCACCGAAACCGACAAAGACGTAAGCAAAATGCGAGGGCAGCAGCTGCTGCTGCTTGCAGGTTGAAAGCGAAACCGCTTGTGGAACCCAATGGTGGAAGAAGTTTTGGTTATATAATGATATCATATAAAATGAGTTCGTCATTAGCGTCCCAATGTGTTTTTGATATTTTTGTAACAACTTAGTACAATTTATAATGTTTTGAGATGTGCGTCCACAATGTGTTTCCAGGTTTTGAACACAACAGAAGTTGAAAAGATAAAGTTTTTTGGTCACCGGCGTCCCATGGGGATTTGGTTTGTTTTTGGTCAACTTGTTCAACTTCCTGATCCAACGGCGTCTCAATGGGTTTTGACATGTTCCCGTGAAATTTGTCAACTTTAACGTTCCGGAGTATGTGTTCTCTTGTCCAGTTGAAAAAGTCTGGACGAATCCCAAATGATGGGCATACTTTTGCGACGGGTTGAAAGCAGCAGTCCAGCGATTTACTCGCCTCCCTCATTTTTAGAATGATGCTCTTATTCTTGTTGTTCACGTTAAAATCGTACTCGTATAATCTCTGTTGGTTGGGTTTTATCATGTAGATTTTGCGGATTCCAGGTTTTGTTGATTCCCAACCGCATGTACTTCAAAATGGCTAAACATCTCAACCTTTGGGTTATAGTGACCTCACGTATAAGAGGAATCATCCCCAAACGGTCGCAAGTTTCAGCTACTTTCAGCTTCATGAATTTTCCAAATCAGCCAGATATATGGGATCATCATGGACATAAATGGTTGATTTTCTAGCTGCTTGGAGGATCACCCCCCTTGGCAACTGCTTGGCAACTGCTTGGTAACTGGGATGGGATGATAACTTATTTGTACATATAATCGCACGTGTATATACACATATTTACATCTAGCTATAATTTTTAATAATAGTACGTGATAGTACGTGTATAATATATATATATACACACATGTATGGGATAAGCCCACTTAGGGGACCTGCTAACCAAGGTTATTAATCCGGGTATAGGTTGCTTGCCACCTGTCAGGTGCCTCACACAGTGTGGAGCTCCACCAAGTCCTTGGGCGGCTCGCGCAAGAAGAAGGCAGCGTCGCTGACAGGGTCTTTTTTAAAAGCAAACTTTCCTGGTCCTGGCCGTGCAGGCACCGCGCCCTCGCCGTGGTACCTTCTTGCCCGAGCTGGAGTCCAACAAGACCGCCAGCGCTGCAGCCTCAGTCTGCCCGCATCATTTGTTTGCATCATGCAACACCCCGACACGCCGATGCCCAGGGACTCGCAGCATGCGAGAAGCGCTGGCGTAACGAGGCTGCGAAGGAGCGCGCCAAGGCGGGGCTTGGGAACATTTGGAACTCAATAGCTCAGCATCACCCGAATTTTACATACATTTACCATCCGGTCATCAAATATGAGTTGCAGGACACTTCCTCATGCATTCCCAGCGAACTAAACCTCCATTTTGGTTCCGGGAGATTTTCCGAGCCAGCCACGTTTGATGACAGCGGAGGGTACAAGGTGAGGCTCCCACATAAACTACCGTAGTTATCCGTAGTTAACCAAGTTAGAAGTGCGTCAACATCTCGCGATTTCGTCAACTTGGGCCTCAGCTTATACCCTCTGGTAATTGAACGCTATTGAACATGGTGATTTAGTTCGTTGGTTTACCTCTTCAAATGGGCGATTTTCCAAAAAACTCTTCGTTTGACCAGAGGGTACCCTCTGGTAAACATACAAAAAACTATGGGAAATCAGCCTTTTTAATGGGTAAACCAACTATTTCTATGGCCATTTTCAATAGCTTTTTGTATGTAAAAACCAGAGGGTATATCATCATCTATCCCATTAAATCCCATTAAATGCCATTGAATCACCATCATATATCCCATTAAAACACCATTGGTTTACCAGAGGGTACGTTAGTTTACCAGAGGGTACTTAGATGGGCCATAGGATTAGCTACCTGGTTAGTAACTGGAGTTATAAACCCAAAAAAATCCCAATGAAATAAGCCATGGCTACTAACTAGTTTTGTTAACTAACTCCATGGCCCATCAAAGTATTGGGAATTTCATCATCCTGCTAACATAAAGGGGGTATATGGAGGTATATTGATGGGATCCATGTTACCATATATAGCAGCACCATGGATCCGTCATGGGATATAGGTTACCTAGAAAACTCTTCGTTTGACCAGAGGGTACCCTCTGGTAAACTAATATAACTATGGAAAATTAGCCTCTTTAATGGGTAAACCAACTATAAATGGCAATTTTCAATAGGTACGTTAGTTTACCAGAGGGTATACTGCTTCAGCATCCGCCCCTTTTTCCAGGCACCCAGCACGTCCTCTGACGAGTCGCCGTCACTTCCGGTGCCGGAGGAACTGTCGCAGCTGCAGACAGCGGTGCTCTCGGCCATCTGTCAGCTGCACTTACCGCAGATCGCGTTCGGGGGCGAATTGGAGGCGGGTGTCATTGCGGATGAGACTTGGCTATGAATCAATACCTATTAATACCATAGCTATTGGATTATTGGATTCATTGGATTGTAGGTGATTTTACCCATTAAACATGTGATTTATCGGATTATTGTCCGGTTTATTTGGATTGTCCAATATTGTCCACAAAAACAAACAGCAAATCTATACAATGTGGGGCCCCCAAACGTTATAAGTTGGTTAACAAAAGCCCCAGTAACTAGTTCGTTATAAGTACCATAAACCATAGTGACATTGGAGTTATGTTCACCAACTTAGCTATCGAACGGGGGCCCTACTTTGGTGGAAATGCTGGAGGGAGCGGTTTTGTTTGGCTTTTATATGACCATTACCATCTGATTATGACTAACATAGCCATGGAAAATCACCATTTTTAATAGATAAACCATCTATAAATGGGCCATTTTCCATGGATATGCGAAATATATTTTGAATTATGTTGGTATAGGTATTGGCATGAGAAATGGATGAAATTTGTTAGTTGAACATATTTGGTCGAAGATTTCAGTGACTCTCATCTATTAAACTTATTAAACACCCAATATTTCTATTATCTACGATTATTAGGTCCTTGCGGAGACTTGGCTATGCTACATGGAGGGAACGGTTTGGAGATGTTTGGAGGGTTTTTTTAGTGGTTAGACCCAAGAAGTAATCAATTAATGAATAATTGATGGTTATAAATTGGTAGGTCTGTAGGAGTTTCCTAGCCATTTGAGACTTGGAGAAACTGATGTGAACATCTGGTAGAAACAGAACTGACGTGGAGGTTTCCATTTGGTCATGGGGGTACCCCAAATCATCCAGTCGTCATGGACGACCATCACTTCGGAAACCCATGGTGACTTTGGGATCCCCTATTTTCAGAAACACCCATGTTAGAGAAAAAATGATGGTAGACACATATCGTGTATATATAAATAATATATATATATACGTATAATATATGCTATAATATATTGGTATGGATGAAAAATGGATGAGACTTGGGAGAAGATTACCTTAAAAAAATAGATGATAGACAATTATGGAGTTCATTGGCTAATTAGTCGACTTGATATATCCTGGCTGTTGGTTTCAAACATTTTTTATTTTCCATTTTCTATATGGGATGATCCTTCTCATTGACGAACTCCATCATTTTTCAAGATGGGCACATTGCACCACCAACCAGTATTATTTTTCCCATTATTATCCCATTATTATCCCATTATTATCCCATTATTATCCATATTAAACCATATTAAAGCCATATAAAACCATGGTTTTTTGACCACCAACCGTTGTATCCCATCTAATATCCCTGGATCGATTGTTGGTTAAATCCACAAATCCCGAGACTTGGCGAGTTGTGCATGTTTTTCCCCACCTGCCAGGTGAGGGTTGTTAGATTTTATGTCAGTTGCCTCCTCCTCCTGCTCCTCCTCCGCCTCCTCCTGCCTCGTCCTCCTCTCCTCCTCCTCTTCGTCCTCCTTGTCATCCTTGTCGTCCTTGTCGTCCTCGTCGTCCTCGTCGTCCTGGCTCAACTGCGACCCGCGATCCACAGTGTTCTCTGCCGGACCTCAACCACGACCACCCACGCCCAGCGTTCCCTGCCGGACCTCAACCACGACCACCCACGCCCAGTGTTCCCTGCCGGACCTCAACCACGACCATCCGCGCCCAGTGTTCCCTGCCGGACCTCAACCACGACCATCCACGCCCAGTGTTCCCTGCCGGACCTCAACCACGACCATCCACGCCCAGTGTTCCGTGCCGGACCTCAACCACGACCATCCCCGCCCAGTGTTCCCTGCCGGACCTCAACCACGACCATCCACGCCCAGTGTTCCCTGCCGGACCTCAACCGCGAGTAGCCAAGTGTTCCCTGCCGGACCTCATGTAGTAGAAATGTCAGATAGAATGCAGAAGATATGCCAGGTAGAAGATGCCAGAAAATATGCCAGAAGATATGCCAGATAGAATGCCAGAACATATGCCAGAAGATATGCCAGATAGAATCCCAGAAGATTTGCCAGATAATATGCCAGAAGATATGCCAAAAGATATGCCAGATAGAATGCCAGAAGATATGCCAGAAGATATACCAGAAGATATGCCAGATAGAATGCCAGAAGATATGTCAGAATATATGCCAGAAGATATGCCAGATAGAATGCCAAATAGAATGCCAGAAGATATGCCAGATAGAATGCCAGAAGATATGCCAGATAGAATGCCAGAAGAGAAGATATGTCAGATAGAATGCCAGAAGATGTGCCAGTAAGAACATGTATAAATGTCATGGTGGGGATCACACGAAGTAAAGTAATTGTTTTTTTGGATTCCATGGCTTTTGAGGAACACCTCTGATGATGAAGGGAATTACATACCCATTACCCGTAGGATCCATGTATGGTATATATGCTAACATTGGGGGTATATGGAGGTATATTGATGGTAAATGTTACCATATATAGCATATGTGGATCCTATGGGTTATATTATGGATGATTTGGGGGTACCTCACCAACATATAACTGGGGGGGCACCATCCTGTAGGGATATAGATCTACCATACGCCTAGTTAGTCATGGGGGTTTCCATAGTCATGGGGGTACATCATCCCACGTCATGCAGGTAGGTTAGTTCACCCCAGTTATAAGATTAACCCTACCTGGTTGGTGTTTTGGAATATTTTTTATTTTTCCATATATTAATTTTAGATATGGCTTAAAGTATCTATAATTCACCTTATTTTTCCATATATTGGGAATTTCATCATCCCAACTGACGAACTCCATCATGTTTCAGAGGGGTAGGTTGAAACCACCAACCAGATTAACATATCCTATGGATTTCTATGGTTGGTGAATGGCAATAGATGGATACAATGTGAGGCCCCCCAGTGATGTTAGTTGGTTAACAAAAGCCCCAATAACTATAGCTATAAGTACCATAAACCATAGTTATTCGAGTTATAAACCAACTTAGCTATCGAACGGGGGCCTCACATTGTATTATCCAATTTTCCAACATTATCCAGCCATTACAGTCATTGTCCTCTAATATCCTCTGTTGGATACCCGCTGGTAAAAATACAAACAGCTAGGGAACATTGCCATTTAGTTCGTTGATTTACCCATTAAAAATGGTGATGTTCCATAGTTATGTTCGTTATGTTTCCTATAAATGCTGAATCCAGTTGGTTTATAAATGTTTACACTAAAATTAGTTATGTTAGTTTACCAATCCGTTAAAGCTTACTCTAATTTTTACCAATATGCTAGTTTACCAATCTGTTATATAGTTTCAACCATTAGTTAGTTTATAAATGTTTACTGTTAGAGGCTAATGGTTAAACATTTGATTTACCAATTAGCTATGTTAGTTTACTAATTGTTTAAACATATATTTGGTTTACCAAAATTAGTTATCCCAGATGCTCCATGTTGCTGGAATATTTACCTACTCCAGCAGCATGGTTCGCATCTGGGTGACACTAAATGTTTACATCCAGAGGGTTTTTAAATGTTTACACTAAAATGGCCCATTTATAGATGATTTTCCCATTAAAACCTCCATTTATAAGGGATTTTCCATGGTTATGTTAAATACAGAGGGTATGTTAGTTTACACTGAATGTCTACATCCAGAGGGTGGTTGAAACCAGTTGTACCTACCATATATAGTTGGTTATATCATACTTATAACCAACTACAATCAACTAGCATCGACCATTAACTATGGAATAAACTCTATAATCAACTACAATCAACTAAAATGTTGACATCCACAGGTCATGGTTGAAACCAGTTGATACCACCTCTCAATGGGAATTTCATAGTTATAACCATCATTTGGTTTACTCAAATTAGTTATGTTAGTTTACCAATTTGTTAAACCTTACTCTAAATTTTACCAGTTGATACCTCCTCTCAGGATTTAGGCGGCGGCTTCTCTCTGGGTGAACGCTTGGTGGGCTCGGATCTACATCGATCGCGCTTGGCTCAAGCAGCCAGCGATGCCAATCTGATCGCAGCAGCGGTCAACCATTTGTAACTTGACCTATGGACCTACAAAAACATACAAAAAAACTGCAAAACCCTCCAAAACCCTACAAAAACCTGCAAAAAAACCTACAAAAAACCTACAAAACCCTGCGAAAACCTGCAAACAACATCCAAAAAACCTACAAAAACCCATGGGTGGTGGATGATTTATCAGCCATTTTTCGGGGATCTTATTGGATTTCGCTGTAAATGATGTTTTTTTTCTGGGATTTGTTCTTGTTGGTGAAGTCGATATATCTGGGTAAATTTCATCACGACCAAAGCCTGTTCTCCCTCACTATAATCATAGTTAGTAAGGGGAATCATCCCCTTTTATGGCCTTACAATTCAGGTGAGTGAAATATATTATAGTTTACCCAGATATATGTTTGAAACATGGAGAAAACATAGGAAAACATACCATGAATTTCAAACTTAGAATCCGTTTGCCCTCCGGTGTCATCAAACATGGCCGGAAGGCCGGAAGATCTCCCAAAATCTCCCAAGGTTGATTTTCCCAGCGATAAAAAAAACTACAGTTGCGACTCGGGGATTTTCCATCAGCACAGGCTATCATGTTCCATGGTTAAATCAATAAAGTGCTTAATTTTGATGGTTGTTTCCAGTGTTTTCTTAGTTAGATCACAATTTTTGTTGGTTACTTGGTTCTCCATTTACAAAGTGTTTAGTGGGGTTAAGATAACCTCGCCTATAGAAGGGCTATCCCTTTTATAGCCGAAGGCTAAGTACTAACTATCAACTAAGTCTCAACAACAACCATAGTTGAACAACTATCAACCCATACCTGATTAACTATTAACTAAACATGGGGTAAACATGCAAAAAGATGTGGAAAACCAACGGTTTTCTTGGGAAACTGGTATGTAATTAGTGGGTTCTTCACATCTTTGTGTATGTTGATAGGGGGTAACATGGTAATTAGTAATTGGTTATACTGGTTGATGGGCCACAGCCGTGCTGTTGTCATCACATTCCCTATAATTAACCACTCCTTCAAGCCTTAAGGCATCCAACATCCCCGCAGCAGTTTCCTGATTTCCAAGGTCTTCCACTCAAGAGGCTCACTGTGTCTCTTCATTGGCTTCATTCCTGGTGGCTCTGACACTAGGTCAATCTTAGATGGGTAAACATACAAACATCTGTTGAAAATGGTGATTTTCCATAGTTATGTTAGTTTACCAGAGGGTAGGTCAACCAACTGGATGGGTACAAACTAATCCTTTAGTCTTTTGGTATCTGGCTGATTGGCAATGGATACTTGCTGATGATTTCACGATGTAGAAATCAAACGTAAGTTGCAACCCATGTTTCACATGGAGATTTTAAGTATGAACAAGGACGATTGAACCACGATTTAACTGGATTTTTGTCACACAATACTTACCAGCCCTGAATTTGCTGAGCCAATGATTTAGATCAATTTGTCTATTGAAAGTTAGGTGTTACCCTCTGGAAATGACTAACATAACTATGGAACATCACCATTTAGTTCGTGAATTTTCCCATGAAAAATGGTGATGTTCCATAGTTTTTTGTATGTTTACCAGAGGGTAAGAACACTGAATTTGCTGAAGATGTGTTTATTCCCATCAACTCTGGATAGTGTTTTGATATGGGACCAATACCGCAGCCACTAATTTAATTAGATGGGCCATGGAGTTAGGGAAAACTAGTTAGTAAATGGCTTATACTTATAATTGGGATATAGGGGGTTATAACTCCAGTTACTAACTAGTTAACTAACTCCATGGTCCATCTAAGTAGACGTTGCTCAATTGATGATGTGTCTACTTGTTTTGGGAAGCCACATGAAATGGGGAAACCATTGGGTCCCTAGAACATCAGCTTCACGGAATCTGGGTACCCTCTGGTTATGTCAAAATAGCGAACTGGAAAATGGCCCAGTCGAAAGTTCGTGGATTTAGCCATTGATAGCATGGTGGATCTTTCCAGTTCGTTATGTAACAGTTTACCAGAGGGTAACATTGCCAATCAGCCAGATACCCTGCAAGAAATGACAAATTCTTAACAAGTCAATAGACATTCCTTATGCAACAGTTTACCAGGCCGGGTCCCAATCTGGGTCCCAATCTGGGTCCCAATCTGGGTCCCAATCTGGGTCCCAATCTGGGTCCCAAGGATGCAACCGCTTCAGAGCAGCACTTCCGCATGGAAAGAGGTCATTGATGGTGACCATCAGGAGACCAGTATCAGCAGCAAGCTGGACGCGGAAGGTGGGGAGGTCTTTTTTCGGAGTCGTACTTAGATGGGCCATGGAGTTAGTTTCCTAGTTAGTAAATGGCTTGTAATTGGGATATAGGGTGTTATAACCCCAGTTACTAACTAGTTAACTAACTCCATGGCCCATCTAAGTACCAAAAGGCGAAATACGATGAACTGAAAAAAAAACAGATTTTTTTTGTCCAGAAAAAGTGGGTTTCTGAGTTCAACTCGAATGTGTGTTTCCGTTGTTGATGATCATAAAGCTAGTGGTATGGTAAAAGAGTGATGACTCCAGATTTGGGTCCAGGTGTTTGTAGGATTTTTTGATTGGTCCATAACTGGGGTAGACCCCGTTTGCGATGAAATACCCTCTTTTAAACATACAAAAAGCTATTGAAAATGGCTATTTATTGTGGATTTACCCATGAAAAATGGTGGATCTTTCCATAGTTATATGATGTTATATGTTAGTTTACCAGAGGGTAATGAAGATAATGAGTTGCGAAACCACTGGGTGGATAGGGCTACTGGATTCCTTGGATTATTTTTTGTTCATCAGCGTTGAAGATCTCAGAGATTGTTCTTGCATTTACGCTTGGATTTTATATGATATGTTTATGGGATGTTCATGCGATGTTCATGGAGTTTTCATTTTAACTTTAAAAAAAAACAAAACAATTAAGATCCCATAAAATGCTTTAGTTGATGGTTATTGTTATTCCTAAATTTAGCCAATAACAACCACCCTACATTGAAAGCAGTTGGTGGTAAATTCGTTGTCTCCATCCTACTTGGATGATGAGCCCGAAGATGACGTGCATTGAGCAGTTTAAAACAATCATAGCTAAAATGGATTATAAACATATGAAAAACTATTCATGGATTATCATCACTATCCTCCAAGTAGACAGAACCATAACAAAACCATACAACAAAACCATAGAAAAACCAGTTTGATAGTTCAACATAAACCATAGATCAGATAAACCATATTCATATAGAGATTTATTGAACCATAGATTTATTTAACCAGAGATTGTTTATAAATCACTATTCATGGATTATCATCACTATAAAAAAGAAAAAAACATATGAAAAACCAGTCAGTTTTCTACACCATGGATTATCATCACTATAAACCAGTCAGTTCAACCAGTCAGTTCAACCAGTCAGTTAAACCAGTCAGTTAATCCATAGATATTTATGTATTTAACCATAGTTTTCTATGGTATTCATACAATGTGAGGCCCCCGTTCGATATCTAAGTTGGTGCAAATAACTCCAATGTCACTATGGTTTATGGTACTTATAACGAACTAGTTACTGGGGCTTTTGTTAACCAACTTAGATATCTTGGGGGCCTCACATTGTATCTAAAATGAATAGAAATTCAGAGTCAAGTGTTCCACTAAGAGATTTTTCAGTGTTCCAATATGGCTATGGATCAATACCTATAAGTACCATTTTTAGTGGGATGAACATCCATTTACCAGCTATGTTGATGTTCACCAGGGGTACAAGGTTTTGACACGCTGCCATATGTTCCAATAGAGTAATTTGATGAACATACTGTTCCTGATAATTCAAATGCGTCTCCTGGATTCTGATCTGAGTTCGACAATGTTTGTCCACTAAGAGATTTTTCAGTGTTCCAAGAGTGTTTAAGTATTCATATCTAAATGGGGGTACCCAAATTATCGCTGGATGGTTAATAAACCATATGGAAAGTCCTTTCTGAAAATAGATGATACCCTCTTGTTTTTTCTCAACAGTTCGACCCTGAAAATAGGCTAGTTTTTATGGTTTCACTAATCTTCCAACCCCAATGACTGCCAGGGTCGTCATGTTAATTTACCAGATGAAAGTCCTAGGGCTACCCTACAAGGTGGGGCCCCCTAGTTATAAGATGGTTTATAAACCCCATTAACTATAGATATAAGTACCATAAACCATAGTTATTGGAGTTATGTTCACCAACTTAGCTATCTAGGGGGCCCCACTTTGTACCATTGTAATAGAAACCGATCCGCACACGTCGCATAAGATCACACGTTTTTTCGTCGCACGTTGTCCCACATGGAACCGAGCCTATTTTTATCACCATGACTGTCAGGCGTCTATCTTTTCAATAAATGATATTTACCCATAGCTATGTATACCCATGAAAATGGTGTTTTAATGGGATATATGATGGTGATTCAATGGCATTAAAAATGGGATTTAATGGTATATATGATGATATACCCCCTGGTAAACCAACATAGCTAGTTATCAAATGGTGATTTAGTTCGCGGATTTTTACCCATAAAAAAATGTGATTTTCCATAGTTATGTTAGTTTACCAGAGGGTACCATTTCGATTCTTCCTTAGCATTGTTTTTGGGGACCCAATCTGAAACCCAATCATATTCTTGGCATTTGTTGTCGAACATCTATTACATGCCACAATAATATTACAACAAACACTCCCATATGAAGCAATGATATCCCAATAATCTGAAACATATTTTCTCCCACATATATATATATATATATGGAATTCATATATGATATCAATCATGATTTTCATGATATGCCCAAGACGAATCCCAACTTCCCCATCCGAAATCCAGGTGTTTTGGACGCTTTCATCGAAGAAACCTCGATGCATCGCCACAGTTTGTGGGCGCTGTTCTTCGCGACGCCGGAGCGCCCTGGCCGCGGCTTGCTCCAGGAGCTTGCGCAGTTGGCAGGGCATGTGACGCCACCGGCGGAGCTCTGTTGTATAGCGCTGCCAAGATGGGTTGATGAAGCTTACAGTGACCTGGTGAGTCACTGGTGAGCTGAGCTTGTTTTTTTTTTTGAAGATTTTTTTATTTTTCCATTTCAAACATGTTTTATTGTCTATTGTATATGGGATGTCATCCTTCCCATTGACGAACTCCATCATTTTTCAAGATGGTTAAATTACTAAAAAGCACCAACCAGATTACCTTGGTGTTGATTGATGTTTTGTTTTGTTGATGCTTCTTGATGCTTATTGGCTTTGGGTAAAATGTTTCGGCCTTTTGCGCCCGCAACTTGGTAGATGGACTATGTCACAATGTCGATTTGGTGCCCTGCACATGGTGGGAAAACTCAAAAAGAATGACAGGATGGGGCCCCCGTTCGATAGCTAAGTTGCCTTATTTCAGTGGCTTTATGGTAGATATAACTATAGTTAATAGGGCTTATAATGGTTTATAAACCCACTTATAACTGGGGGGCCCCATCCTGGATGGTTGCGAACATCATGTTCCTTAAATGTTCCTAATTTCCCTCCTGCACACACTAACATAGATGCGGAAAACCCCCAAGCATTTCGAGATCAAATTCCGAACCCATAGGATCCATGTATGGTATATTGATGGGATCCATGTTACCATATATAGCATACCATCAATATACCATTTACCATCAATATACCTCAATGAATATATCCACAGGTAAATATCAATATATACCCAATATACCCAAGAAAATATATGGTAAATGTTACCATTTATAGGATCCGTCATGGGGAATGGTAAATCCCATGGTCCCATGGCTTCGGAAACTCAGGTGACATCACCTGCCTGGCCTCTATTACGCTGCCTGGAGTTGCAGAAACTGATGATCGTTGATATTGGTTTGTCTCGTAATATTTACCCATATGTTCTGGGTAAATTATAACGACCTCACTGTTCTCCCTCACTGGAAATCATGGTTTATTTTAGGGAAATCATCCCCTTTTATGGCCTTAATTCAGGTTAGTGAAATATTATAATTTACCCAGATATGTTCCATGGTGCTGGAATATTGACCTACAACACTGGGTGATTTTGTTCGGGCAAATGTTGGTAAATATTCCAGCACCATGGAGCATATTGGTTCATTATAGAATCCCAGATGCGAACCATGGTGCTGGAATATGCACACCTACATTTACCCCAAACATGGCACAGTTTTGTAGGTAAATATTCCAGCACCATGGAGCATCTGGGAATTATAGCTGATTTTACTTTATCAATAGTTTGATTATAGTTGATGATAGTTTATGATAGTTAATGGTCGATGCTAGTTGATTGTAGTTGGTTATAACATGATATAACCACTATGATCAACTATAACCTTAAGCCAACTAATCAATGGGAATTCCAGGATCCTAAAATGGAGGTACGTTAGTACCATATAAGGCCATATTTTGTGGGGATATCCCCTTACATAGGCCTGAAAAATAGGCCTTATATATGGTAGGTACCTCCAATCAATTGGATCCTGAAATGGCCATTGAACTAAGCCAACTCCCAGGTTGTTAGCCGCCAACAGCGGCTTCGCCCCGGGACACCACGCGATCCGCCGGTTGACGGAGCGTCTGGGAAGCTGTTCCCAGGCGCAGAGGGAGGAGCTGACCACGCGCCTGGCGCGGCAGAAGGGGAAACGGCGATATCCGGAGACTTGGGAAGCCTGGTCACTTGGACGCCGTTCCAACACGGTAGCCGAATTAGCCTCTGGTTATTTAAAAATGGTGATTTTTTCCCATTAAAAATTGTGATTTTCCCATCAATAATGGTTGATTTACCTATTACCATCTGGTTATGACTAAGATAGCCATGGAAAATAACCAGAGGGTAGATGCAAAGTCAGGTAGACTTACTGTATTTGCATCATCTTGGGAAGATGTCTGTGAAGTTTTCCTGGGTGTTCTTGTATTTTTTTCTGGCTTTAACTAGGAAAACTGGTGATTTAATTAAGTAGATGAATGGAAGAACCAAAGGTTGGTTGAGAGATCTTGTGGATTTTTGTTGTGTATGATTTCTGACACATCAGATTTTGTTCTGTAGTGTTTTTCCATCACCTATTTTTTTGGTGGATTGATTTTCATCCATTCTTGTTGGGGGTTGTGCTTTATTTGTGGGTGCTTCGATGTGTTGTGTTTTCTTGAGTACGGTTTGATGGTGACATTTAGCGCCCTGAAAGATCGTTTCGTTAGACGGGGGACGAGCAGCAAAGAAAACTCAGCCATCCCCATAAACTAATACGGGAACATGTCTGGTTGGTGGTTTGGAACATGTTTTATTTTCCATATATTGGGAATATCAATCCCAACTGACTAATATTTGTCAGAGGGGTTGAAACCACCAACCAGACGTGTGATGTATTGGGGGATTTGTTTGGTAGCTTCGAAGATTATATGATAATTGCGGTTTGACCATGAAGAACTGGCTGATTTATGGTGGTTTATAATATTGATTACAATACAGGATGGGCCCCCAAAGATAGCGTTCAGTTGCCTAAAAAAAAGTTGCTGAATTAACTTCCTGTTTATGGTATATACTGTAGATATAACGAACTAGTTCATGGGGGGTTTTGTTATGGTTTATAAACCAAGTTATAACTGGGGGGGCCCATCCTGTATGGTATGGGGTGGATTTCTTGTTTTTTTTCTTGGGCCATTGAACACTTGCGTGCGCCAAGGTACAACTTCATTGGCAGCGCTCCACTGGTGGAAAGAGATGAGGTGGTGGAAAGTGAAGTGGAAACTGGGTGATGGTTTTATTGATTGTCATCATATCTAGGCAAACCTGGTTGGTGGTTTGGAAGAATTGTTATTTTTCCATATATTGGGAATAATCATCCCAACTGAGTAATATTTTTCAGAGGGGTTGAAACCATTTTGTTGCTAATATATAGCATATCCCGTTTCATTTATTATTAAACCAACCAAGTGGTTTCTGCTGAATTGTTGATGCAAAGTTAAACTAGTTTTTTGGAACGTATTCAAGGTCTATAAAAAAGATTATTAAATATGATATACAAGAAACACTGCATGTTCAGAAACGTGGCAAAATGCGGCCCCTATTTCGTAATTTCTGTTAAAAAGTGGCTTGGCGGTTTCAGTTTTTGTTGCTTTGATGTAACCCATGATGGAGACATACCTTGGGGATGCACCATTTTTTCGTTCCAGACCAAGGTCTGGTGTTTATTCCGTTCACTAAGAACGATGATCTTGGATTACCATGGGCCATGGAGTTAGGAAAAACTAGTTAGTAACTGGAGTTATAACCCCCAAAAGATCCCAATGAAATAAGCCATTTACTAACTAGTTTTCCCTAACTCCATGGCCCATCTAAGTGGATTACCATCATGGCAAAGGACAATTCTCTATTTATAGATTATTTTCCTTAGATTTTCCCAGCTATAAACCTCCATATTACTGGGGAAATTTATAGATGGTTTTTCCCATGCCACCTCCATTTGAGCCACGTTTTTTTTTCCAGATGATGGAATTTAGATTGAGGAGGAACTAACATCATTCATGCGCAGGCTGTTCTGCTTGGTGCGTAGGTCCTGCATAGGCATATGGCGTAGGATAACGTAGGATAGGCTGCGTAGGCAGTCTCGCGTAGGCGCTTGTTTAGGTGTTCTAGATTGTTTGTTTCTGACCTCGGACTCTTGTTTTTTCTTGGTGGGTTACAATGATTTTGCATGCAAACTGGATTGTATGATTCATATAGCTGGAAGAAAGGGAAATTAAAGAAACAAACGCTTTTTCAGAAAATTACCGTGCCAAGTTTTCAGAAATCCATTTTCGGTTCGGACTTTCGCGTAGGCTCCGCGTAGGCCCTCGCGTCGGAAACGCGTAGGCCCTCAGGTCAAATTGTGGCCCCGTAGCCCATCCAAAGTTTTTCCAAGCTCAACAATATCTAACTATCTTCCATGACAAAGTGCTCCACGCTTGATGAGGTTTCCGCCTTCCTTTCACAAGTCATCCAAAGAATCGTCATCTTCCAATTCTTCGTATTCCTCCTCTGAACCAGAATCGTGACCACATCACGTCAAGTAAAGAGATCGTTGCAGCAACTTTCGCGGAGGCAACCGCGTAGGCACTTCTTAAAAGGTAACCCTCGCGTAGGCAGTTTCGCATGGGAGGAGTGGTTTGCGTAGGCCCCGCGTAGGTGTCCCAATTTGTGTATTGCGGTTTAGCAAGGAAAAAAAACACATAACAACACAACTCATTTATAGTAGTGTGTTTTTCCTTGCCACGTTTGATGACAACGGGGGGGGATGTCCCATTGTAACGAATGGATTGCCTCCAGCATTATTGAGGAAGCGGTTCCTCCACCAGCGCCACCACCACCAGCGGAAGCGGTGACGAGCGAGCCGAAGAAGAAGGTGCAGACGAGTCTCAGGCCGGCCGTTTTCGTGTTCGTTTCGGTGCTGCCCCACTTCACTTCGGACTGGCTAAGTTGGTGCAAGTTGTGTCACCCATTCACTTTGTACAAAGTGAGGCCCCCAGTTATAAGTTGGTTAACAAAAGCCCCAGTAACTATAGTTATAAGTACCATAAACCATAGTGACATTGGAGTTATGTTCACCAACTTAGATATCTTGGAGGCCTCACTTTGTAGATATATGATTCAACATAGTTGACCCGTTGATAGATATCTGGTTGGTGGTGACTGGAACATGTTTTATGTTTCCATATAGGAAGAATAATCCCAACTGACTAACTCATATTTTTCAGAGGGCTTGAAACCACCAACCAGTGTATAGTGAATGGTTTACAAGGAGGTCAAGTATCGTTTATGATATGGGAAAATGTTGATTTCGCCAAGAAACATTAGGAGTTTTCATGGGATGTATAGCTGATTTATGATATAGCTAAGTTGGTGCAAATAACTCGGTGAATTCTATGGTTTATAAGTAGATATGTCGAACTAGTCAATGGGCGTTATAAACCAACTTATAAGTGGGGGATCATCACCTTGTAGGACGGATCGGACGGATGTGTTCTAATCAATCGTGTTTGTTTAGACATTTTGAAACTGGGGCGAATCAGCATAAGTCAACAATGAAACTGGGGTTTTAAGATGGGTTGACCTCTTTGAGCAAAGAAAACTCAAAACGTTTGAATCATTTTGCCACTCTTGGTGGGGCGTAGATCAGATGATCTCGCAGTTTCCATGGCATTTTTTCCAAGGGGAAATCCACTGGAAAATGGGGATCTAAAGGGAAGATGACTTATTGTTTGTCAGAATCCTTGAGCAAATCCGAGTTTCTACTGTGTGGTTTTTAACCATCAAAGCCTGGGGCGTGAAAGCAAGGCTAGCCTGCGAAATTATTTTTTGAAACGGCAAGAATTTGCAATTTCAGTGAGTACCCTCATGCTAGGACAAGCGACCTATGAGGCCACGATGGTTTCATTGATTGGATGGAGATGCCTACAATTCCCAGGAGAACTTGATGATGATTTGAAACATGTAGGCATCCTTTTGAAGATGATGTGTTCTATAGAACATGTGTTCTTCATCTTTTTGAACATGTTTCATTCCTTTTGATGATGATTTGAAAAAACATATTCTTTTTGTCAAAAGCAATGTCTATAGGGTATCCTGGAATCTCTGCTGGGTTGCAATATTTGCCTCGCAGTGTTTCAGCATTTCATGAACTCTCCAGGCATACCCCAAGATTTTGAACCTTGAAGTGCAGGATTTGACCATGTTCATCCATGTTTATCCATTCTCCATAATAAGCAAGTAGTATAATAGTATAGTAATTAGTATCAATGGCCATTCCAGGATCCGATTGATTGGAGGTACCTACCATATATAAGGCCTATTTTTTAGGCCTATGTAAGGGAATATCCCCACAAAATATGGCATTATATGGTACAGTACCTCCAATTTAGGATCCTGGAGATCTCCCATTGATAGTATAATCATATCATATTGGTACATAATAGCCAAGTACTACCCATTCTCCATAATGACGGTGAATTTGATCACGACCTCACTGTTCTCCCGAACCCTGGGAATCATGGTTTATTTTAGGGAAATCATCCCCTTTATATGGCCGCAAGTTTCAGTATGATCATTTACCCAGATAAATCATCTATAACTTGGCATTCTCCATAACTATATTATATGTTTGTGTATATTTTAATATATTGGTAATTTTCTTACAGATCTCCAAAAAGTATCTCCTCAATCCTTATGGATCCAAACACTGTCTGAGAAGGTACTTAACCCTCCAAATTATAGTAAATTATACCCCAAACACTTCCTAAGAAGGTACTTGGATCCATAGGGAATAGTGTAGATAACACTAACCAAGTCCTCCACTTCCTCCATTTCTTTCGGTCGTCGCGGCCCAGCGCAGGGACATCATTCGCGAAGCTCCGCGAGATCTCTGCTGCGCTCTGGACGGTAAGCTGCTTATGGATCCTGTGACTCGACATGGATTTCCCACGTTTAAAGATGTGATCTTTCCATGCACCCGGCCTGGTAAACATACAAAAAACTCTGGAAAATGGCAATTTGTAGTGGATTTTCCCATGAAAAATGGTGATTAAGTAACATACCTATGGAAAGATCCACACCATAACTATGGAAATTTATAGTGGATTTTCCATGCACCAAAATTTGTCCATGTTTTGAACATCCTTCAGGTTGAGTTTCCAGATGCTTCCAGATATTACATCTCTAAATCCCTACATTCAAGGTGGTGCCCCATACTTAGCTAAGTTGATTTGTAATTCCAATAACTAGGACAGGTATATATATATATACATATATATATATATACTTACTATATACTTACTACGGTTTATAAACCAACATTCACATCGGGGACACCACCTTGTTTTTGTAGTGGTGAAAACTCCAAGCAGGTGATTTCCCGGCCGAAACCCAGGTGAGATCACCCTATGGCCACGTCTTCGAACGCAGCAATTTGGCAAAAGCCTTGGAGAAGAGATGTGGTCATTGTCCACTGTCCCTGGCCGGAGGATTTTCGGAAGTTGTGAGGGTATAGTGAATTAGTGTTGATATTATCTATCTAGTGATATATGATATTATCTATATAGTTGATTGGTTACTATGTTTATTGGGGAAATAGACATACTATGGTTACTAGCAAATACTTAATAACTGGTTGGTGGTTTGGAAGAATTATTTTGGCTTTCCATTCAGTTGGAATGTCATCATCCCAACTATCCCAACTGACGAACTCATATTTGTCAGAGGAGTTTTGGTCAACCACCAGCCAGCCATAAGTGGTTTATTGACATCATGAGCTGATAAAGATCCTATGCTAACTAGAGGTTAAACACTGATATATATATATATAGTCATGAGCTAACGATGTTGATGGCCTAACTTGAAATGTGGTTACTATTTTTAGATATGCTGATCCACTGTACCTTGGCGGAGATAAACACGGAATCTGGATGCGTTGGAAAGACGTGTTTTTGGTTGATCCATAAGCCATAGATGTAAATATATGTACTGTAATATATATATATATATACAAGGTGGGGCCCCCTAGTTATAAGATGGTTTATAAACCCGATTAACTATATATAGTTATAGGTACCATAAACCATAGTTATTGGAGTTATAAACCAACTTAGCTATCTAGGGGGGCTCACTTTGTATATATATATATATATCATATTAATCATACCCAGATGCGAACCAGGGTGCCGGAATATGTTCCGACATTTGGGCGATTTTTAGGGTAAATATATGTAAATATTGCAGCACCATGGTTCGCATCTGGGATAGGTGCCATATAGAACTGGTGGTTCATGAGCCATGTAGGATTCGTGGGATCCAGCCTTATCAATGGCCATGAATGAGGTCCCTTTTGTATTGTTACCTGCAAAAACTCTTAGATCTTCTGGGAATTCTCTTAGCTGTTCGATATCTGTGGTTTATGCAAGGTGGGCCCCCCCAGTTATAAGATGGTTTATAAACCCGATTAACTATATATAGTTTTAGGTACCATAAACCATAGTTATTGGAGTTATTAACCAACTTAGCTACCTAGGGGGCCCCACTTTATGGCTTATGGCTTATGGAAGTTTCCTAAAATGGAGGCACCCCGAGTTCTCATCCATGTCATCCATTTCAATCGGATGTTCAATGAATAAACCAGCCAGCGAGCGATAAAGGGGTACCCCCAACATTTCGTTCACCATGTGTTGTCCGTAAATTTCCCATATTTTCCCCATTTGATCCCATGAGTGTCCCTTTTGACATGTGTTTTCCCATGATTATCCAATATTTTCCCATGATTGTACATTTTTCCATATGTTCCAATATTTTCCCCATGATTGTCATGTTTTTCATAGTTTCCCATATTTTCACGTGATTGTCCCATGATTTTTCCCAGATTTTCACACTAAAACCTCCATGTCTTGGCGAAGTTTAGGACCTTCGAACCCCTAAGTCTGAGCGACTGCACGCGCGACGCAGAGCTGCGTTTGCGCGCCACGCGCTGGGTGCGACTGGCGGTGCCGCCGAAGTGAACAACAGAGTTTATGCAGTTTTTTTTTGTTTAAATGGGTTCAACTATACTAAAAAGCAACATAAGCTGGGATATATATATATATATACACTGGTAGGACAAAAGTTGCGCTTGTTGAGCTTCCCACAGTGAACATGTTTGGCTTCTTCTTCTTCTGCACACCCTTTCCCCGTAGAATCCTAGCATGGAGCTTTGTCGTACCCCGGTCGCATTTCCACCCTCCAAAAGCTTTAAAATCTTATATATTTAAAAGAGGGTGATAATTGACCGTCCCACACCTGCCACACAAAACGGACTTGAAAATGCGATCCGCTGTTGACCGACATGGATGTCTTGTAAAGCTTTCAAGAAGCATAAACTTTGTTCCTCCTGAAGGGTACGAAAAGCTTATTTAGTGGGAATTGCCACGTCATTTGCTGACTTCTGCACCTGCTTCAGCTTGGTCATTACTCCACATAACATGTCTGTCTCCATCCTGTTTGTCTGCACTGCTACACATGTGCTGCGACGCAGGGTACAAAAAGCTTATTTAGTGGGAATTGCCACGTCATTTGCTGATTTTTGCACCTGCTTCAGCTTGGTCATTACTCCACATAGCATGTCTGTCTCCATCCTCTTTGTCTGCACTGCTACACATGTGCCGTGACGCAGGGTACAAAAAGCTTATTTAGTGGGAATTGCCACGTCATTTGCTGATTTTTGCACCTGCTTCAGCTTGGACATTACTCCACATAACATGTCTGTCTCCATCCTCTTTGTCTGCACTGCTACACATGTGCCGTGACGCAGGGTACGAAAAGCTTATTTAGTGGGAATTGCCCCGTCATTTGCTGACTTCTGCACCTGCTTCAGCTTGGTCATTACTCCACATAACATGTCTGTCTCCATCCTCTTTGTCTGCACTGCTACACATGTGCTGCGACGCAGGGTACAAAAAGCTTATTTAGTGGGAATTGCCACGTCATTTGCTGATTTTTGCACCTGCTTCAGCTTGGTCATTACTCCACATAGCATGTCTGTCTCCATCCTCTTTGTCTGCACTGCTACACATGTGCCGTGACGCAGGGTACAAAAAGCTTATTTAGTGGAAATTGCCACGTCATTTGCTGATTTTTGCACCTGCTTCAGCTTGGACATTACTCCACATAACATGTCTGTCTCCATCCTCTTTGTCTGCACTGCTACACATGTGCCGTGACGCAGGGTACGAAAAGCTTATTTAGTGGGAATTGCCACGTCATTTGCTGACTTCTGCACCTGCTTCAGCTTGGTCATTACTCCACATAACATGTCTGTCTCCATCCTCTTTGTCTGCACTGCTACACATGTGCTGCGACGCAGGGTACAAAAAGCTTATTTAGTGGGAATTGCCACGTCATTTGCTGATTTTTGCACCTGCTTCAGCTTGGTCATTACTCCACATAGCATGTCTGTCTCCATCCTCTTTGTCTGCACTGCTACACATGTGCCGTGACGCAGGGTACGAAAAGCTTATTTAGTGGGAATTGCCACGTCATTTGCTGATTTTTGCACCTGCTTCAGCTTGGACATTACCTCTTTGTCTGCACTGCTACACATGTGCCGTGACGCACTGGTAGGACAAAAGTTGCGCTTGTTGAGCTTCCCACAGTGAACATGTTTGGCTTCTTCTTCTTCTGCACACCCTTTCCCCGTAGAATCCTAGCATGGAGCTTTGTCGTACCCCGGTCGCATTTCCACCCTCCAAAAGCTTAAAATCTTATATATTTAAAAGAGGGTGATAATTGACCGTCCCACACCTGCCACACAAAACGGACTTGAAAATGCGATCCGCGGTTGACCGACATGGATGCCTTGTAAAGCTTTCAAGAAGCATAAACTTTGTTCCTCCTGAAGTATAATTATATATGTGTATATATAATATAATATATAATATATATATTACAGCGGATTGTCCTATCCAATATAAGGAATATGATCACCCAAAAAAAATGCGGGAGTTCCGATCAACCAAGCGGATTTCTGGAAACGGTGATTGTCCTACAGCTTCTGGAAAATTGTGAAACAAAACTGGTTGGTGGTTTGGAACATTTATTATTAAAGTGATTACCCTCTGGTAAACTAACATAGCTATGGAAAATAACAATTTTTAATGGGAAAACTCACTATAAATTGCCATTTTCAATAGCTATGTTAAATTACCAGAGGGTATTATTAAAGTGATTAGTGTTGATACAGTGATATAGTGAATTACTGTTGATATTATCTATATAGTGATATATGATTGATATTATCTATATAGCTGATTGGTGGTTTGGAACCATGGAATTTTATGACTTTCCATTCAGTTGGGAATGTCATCATCCCAACTGACTTTCACTATTTTTTATGTATTTTTCAGAGGGGTAGGTATATCACCAACCAGAAAAATATATGATGTTTTAAGATTTGTTTAATCATCCAAAGTCGTGGTTTAAGCAACCCTGTAACAGTACCATCTGGTCAACTAACAGTTTGCTATAGAAAATCATCATTAAAAATAATAGGTAGATCAACGAACTAATAATGTGCCGTTTTCAATAGCTATGATGTTAAATTACCAGCGGGTATGTATAGTTCGATGTAAGACACTTGAGCAGTGACAAGATCAATGGGAATTTCAGGATCCAATTTTTGGAGGTACGTTAGTACCATATAAGGCCATATGAACTGTGGGGATATTCCCTTACATAGGCCTTATATAGGCCTTATAGATGGTAGGTACCTCCAATTTAGGATCCTGAGATGGCCAGTGATCCTGGAATGGCCATTGACAAGATGACACTGATTGATATTGGGGCCGGATCTCCTAAGACGACGAGACGGCTAGTGCGACTGTGCTAGCTGCTAAGCCCTATAAGGTAGGGTTTAATATGATTTAATCAACAAACAATTTAACCAACAAACTAGTTTAATATGATGTAATATGATTTGAAAAGTATATATATATAGAGGGTTTCATCAACAAAAGAGTTTAACTGACAAAGAAGATGATTTTTGAACCTGCAAGGGTTCACCAAAGAGAATGTCAGGGGTTTTCACCATGGTTTAAACAGGGGTTTTCAGCCAGTTTGATCAACGAAAATGGCCATACCTCACGTTTCGGTGGTGCATACCTCAAAAACGTGGAGAGAATTCCACGTCTCCAGTCCTCGTTCAAACGGGGGAAACTGGAGCTGAACTGGAGCCCTTTCGCTGCCGAAGATGCTGCCACGTTGCGGCGTGGGTGAGCTGGAAATCAAAACTCCCAGCAGCTGGTGGATCCACTTTTCTAATCCTCAAAACTGGATTGTGAAATTTAAAAAAACATCAACCAAGGTAAATATATATATATATATATATTTCTTGGATTATATATATATGTGTGTTTCTTGGAATATATATATATATATGTCTTGGATTATATGGACCATATATACACATATATAAATATACATATTCTGGTTGGTGGTTTGGAACATTTGGATTATTTTCCATATATTGGGAATAATCATCCCAACTGACTTTCATATTTTTCTATGTTGCGAAGTCCATCATTTTTCAGAGGGGTAGGTATACCACCAACCAGCAGTAATATACGGATAATCATGGAGGACCTGGTTCCAATTTCTCATTTCTCGCCGAATATTGGCGGTTTCATATATGGAGATTGATCATCATCCCATCGTCACATGGCTAAATTCTACCAGAGCTGCAAAAATTGAGGATCTTCCAAACCCATAGGATCCATGGTGCTGCTATATATGGTAACATGGATCCCATCAATATGTCCCCAAATGTTAGCATATATACCAGCACCATGGATCCTATGGGAAATTCTGTCTGTTTTTTTTCTGCTTCTGCCCTTTGGGATGGTGTAAGGACTGGAACCCCAACTGGCCCAGCAGACCATGGTGGACCTACTGAAATTAGTTGGGGCGCCCCAGTGGGTCGAATTGTGGGAAATTTGGCACATGGAAATTTGGTGTGCTGAAATGAAGATTGTTTTTCCAAACGTCGGCTAGGTGTTAAGATTGTTAAGTCTTGGAGTTGTAATGATCATCAATTAGTACTCATATCAATCAGGATGAATCATGTCAGGTCTTTGGATTTTAACCTGTTTTTTGTTTTTAAGTTGATAGACTCTAGTTTGTCTCACAGAAACTCCACATCAAAATAGCCAGAAAACTTGGGGGGCGATGCCGAACTTGGACATATGCTTAAAGATCCTATTTTTGTTTTGGCTTAAGTCTACATTTTCTATGGCCTCCCCATTTTCTATGGCCTTCTATTTTTTTCATCCTGCATGTTTGTTCATGGTTTATCCGTTTATCCTTCATTTTTTGTATAGCCGATTTATAGATTGGTGTGGTACTAAACATGGTGATTCTTCATAATTATGTAACACATTACCGGTATCTTCTTATTTTTCTACGGCCTTCCAGTCGTCGTTCTTCGCGGTTTATCCGATTTATGTCTGATGGTCAGGTCCAGATCTTCAACCGCTTCACCAATGATTCAATGGGAATTTCATCTTTTTTTATGGGCCATTTTCCATGGCTATGTTAGTCATAACCAGAGGGTAACCCATGATTGATTATGGACAGATCTACCATAAACATCCAGAATTGTGATGACTTATCCAGATTTTATCGCCAACAATATGGGTTTGGTGCCCAAAGATGTTGGACAATTCATGAAAAAACATCAACCATTCAATGGGAATTTCAGGATCCAATTGATGGAGGTACTGTACAGGATGGGGCCCGCAAGATAGCGTTCAGTTGCCTTATAAGTGGCTTAACTATGGTTTATTGTAGATTCAATGGTAGATGTAACTATAGTTAATGGATGGTATAATGGTTTATAAACCAACTTATAACTGGGGGGCCCCACCCTGTACTATATAAGGCCATATTTTGTGGGGATATTTTATTTCAAACCTTAGTCTCTTAAATTTGGATTCCTGTTGATTTCATATGTCCAGGGAAAGAACTATGGAAAGAACTATGTAGCAATCCATGGAAATAAGGGGTCTTTCCACTAAAAATGTCACCCAATGAAGAAATCCACCACTTTGAAAATATTGGTCCGTAAGTTGGAAAGGAAAACCGTATACAACAATATACAACATCTGTGTAATTCGGGGCCCCATATTTCTTCAAAAAGGAGAACACCAAAGAATGCATGTGCGCAAGCTCCAACTAGAAAAAAAAACTCCTAAAAATAATATTACGATGTGACCCTGTATCCTGTAAAATTGGTTAACTAGTGCATTGATGAGTGTATGTATGGCTGTGTGCTCATGTGCATGGATGAACTGCAAATGCAAATCCACAGTTTTTAAGTATTGTTTTCGGTGCTGCGAAGACCACGGTAAAACTTAGGTAAAACATGGTGAAACAAATTTATCAACTGCAAACGGAATCCTACGTATTTGTAGCAGATCAAAGATGTGTTACTGTATTTCTGTCGCTACGTTGTTGTGCATTGGTCCGTAGCAGTGTTGCAGTAACAGATTACAATCATTATAGATATGTCATTTTATCCAAATACAACGCTTAAACTTTATTGTTGCGTTTTATACAAACAAACCCCGTCGATATACTTCCAGACTTTGAAACATACACGAACAAACAAGAACATATAATTCATCTAAAAACTCAAACAGTCTGATATAAATCATAAATACAAAGCAAGTAAAGTAAAGCAAACATCAAAAATATACTTATAAAGTTAAACAGTTGAAGTCAAATCGAGAAGTAAAGTCAAAGTTATGTTACAAGTTCAAGGTTCTAAGTTTTAGCTACAAGTTGTAAGTTCAAAGTTAAAAGGTTACGAAGTTATAAGTTACACAGTTTTTAGTGTCAAGTCATAACTAGAAGCTCTAAGTTGCAAATTAACAGTTATAACAATGTGTTTCAATTTTAAAACAGTTCCTAAACCTTATAAATTGATTTATTGAAGTTTGATAGTCAAGAGTTATGGATTATGAGTTGTATTTTACAAAGTAGCTATAAGCTACAAGTGTGTATATTTGGTTTTATCAAGTTATATACAAGTATAAAAGTAAGTTAACATATAAGCCATTATTTGGGGTTTGCAGAACGGTTCGGAACGGTTCCGGAGATTTCCCCAGAACGGTTCGGAACGGTTCCGGATACTTCCAAAACCTCAGAACTATTTAGAACTATTTAGAACGGTTCCGGAACGGTTCTGGATTCAAAGCCTATAGACCCCAGAACGGTTCGGAACGGTTCCGGAGACCTCCATATAATAGCATATGTTAACTTGTATAATAGCATATTTTGACTATATAATTATTTAACTTTAATACATAGAGTTTGAACAAATAAACACATACTAGTACCATAAGCAATGATGATTCGACACAAGCGATACTTTCAAACGGATACTTCAATACAAACTACACAGTTGTATGGTTTTGTTAGAAAAGATTCCACAGAACAGTTTTCAAGACAGGTAAGATTTTGAAAGGGGCCACGCCTTCCATGAACAAACAGCTGAGAAACTTCCAGCCTTTTGTAGTCTACATCCAGTTTCACCTTCTCCCTTGTGCTCAGCATGCCTTTGCACTGCCTGTTTAAAGACTTAGGCGGAGAAGTTGCCTTCCCTTTGTCGTTTTTCTGACTCCTTTCTCTTGTAGCCTTGGCCCTTGGAGCCACAGGGCGGCTCTTTGGAAGGTTTTGAAAATGCGAAACAGGAGGAACTGCTCTTGACCGTTTTTTTGGGGGGTTTGGAAGCTGTGGAGAAATATCTCCGTGCAAAGTTGAGGTCTGCGGAACCGTTCCGAACCGTTCTGGAGGTCTGCAGAACCGTTCCGAACCGTTCTGGAGACCTCTGCGCTAAGAAAATTGTCACGTAAATTGGTTCTCTGTGCCAAGAATCCCGGGAATCGGAAGGCACGGACATGGTTGAGCCATTCCGGATGCATTAGTCCCAACCTGAAAGTAACCCATCATCACCCTCAAGAACCCCACCGCTAGCGTTATCTATCTATCTATTTATCTATCTATCTATCTATCTATATATATATATATATTCTGAAAAGTATCAAATATGGTCCAAGAAATTATCGGCAGCTATATACAGTATAGTTTGTTTCTTGTATGGGTAGTAGCACGGTAGTAAGGTAGTAGCAACAGTCTTGCCAGAGTGACAAAATACCAACAATATAGCCTGGATGTTGCACTGCTACCGCTACTGCATATTTTTGATCCAGTCCAGAACTGGTGGGGAAAAAGACAGCAATGGGAATGGAGCCAACAACCAGCATTGCCTTTGTTCTTTTTTTGGAAAGGGAAGTCACATAATCCCAACAGCCTGAACACATTGCAGAAGCCAGCTCAGCGTGCCCAAACACACATGGACTGCCTTCCAAATAATTGAAATTACATATTGATAGAATTCGACTTCAGCGCCTGTTCCTTCCACCTAAGTATTTCTCCAATTGCGCTTAAACCGCCTGAATCTTCCCTCAAACAAATGCAGCATCATAAATTAAACCCACTATCTGTATGCCGGTTGTATATTTATTCAAGGTTTCAAGTATTTGGGGCAAGGTTGTTAAGTAATCAAAGCTGAATTTAGCCCAGTCTCACACTAGAAAATTAATTAGCTGCAAATAGAATTCCACTTCGGCGTTTGTTTCTGTCGCCTGAGTATGTCTCCCATCTTGAAGAAAAAGCAAACCATATTTTCACCCAAATGCCAGCCCCAGACCAGAATTTGGAATGCATAATCTGCTTAAGCGCACATAGAATTCTACTTAGGCGTCAGTTTGTGACGCCGAAGCAAAATTCTATTTGCGCCTAAGTAGATTATGGATTATGTTTTCCAACAGCCCCAGACTAGATTTCTATTTGCGCATAAGTAGATTATGAATATAAATTATGTCTTCCAACAGCCCCAGACTAGAATTTGGAAGACATGGTCTAATTAGGCGCAAATAGTAATAGAATTCTACTTAGGCGTCAGTTCGTGACGCCTAAGCAGAATTCTTTTTGCGCCCAAGTAGATTATGAATTTGTCTTCCAACAGCCCCAGACTAGAATTCTATTTGCGCCTAAGACTATGAATTATGTCTTCCAACAGCCCCAGACTAGAATTTGGAAGACATGGTCTAATAAGGCGCAAATAGTAATAGAATTCTACTTAGGCGTCAGTTCGTGACGCCTAAGCAGAATTCTTTTTGCGCCCAAGTAGATCATGAATTTTGTCTTCCAACAGCCCCAGGCTAGAATTTGGAATGCATAATCTATCTGGCGCAAATAGAATTCTACTTAGGCGTCAGTTCGTGACGCCTAAGTAGAATTTTATTTGCACCTAAGATTACCTAAGTAGATTTAGTCTTCAAAAGAAAGACCGAAACATAAGTTCACCCCAATCTCACAATCAGATTTTTATATCTATAGACTGTGGATCAGATAGGTATAAAGTATCCATGGCAAGTTTTTGTTATTAGCAAAACTGAATTCATCACCGGTCCACAATACAAATTCAATTTAGGTCAAGTACTTCACGACTTTGAGTGCAAATCCAGATTGATGAATCTGGATGTGTCCTCGCTGTGTGCATTGTTTTGTTTCTTTACTTCTTCAAAAGCTTGCTAATTTTCCCTTGACATGGTTTCTAACATCACCTTCTATAAGATATCCTTATTGCCCTGGTTTCTTCCATAGTCCCTTCCATCGTTCCCTCCATGGTCCACAAGGCCCACAGGTTAAGAGGCTAAAGTTTGAAATAAGGGATATTCCCTGAAATTTAGGCCTGAAATCTAGGCCTTGTATATGGTAGGTACCTCCAATAAATCGGTTCCTGTTGCATGCCCATTGATTATATGCTACAATATGTTCTATAATGGTTAATATCTTGATTTGTAGTATAATATATAATCATCTAGTATATGTATGGGATAGTTCTATGTACGAATATATAAGTGAATGTTACTGATAACAACAGATAAGGTGAGAACTGCAGGATGGTGCCCCCTAGTTATAAGTTGGTTTGTACCCCCCATTAACTAGTTCGTTATATCTACCATATACCATACTTAAGAGACTTACATGTAAACTTAGCTATCTTGGGGGCACCATCCAGTATATATTTGAGATATGATACTACATTATGATACTATAGTTGATAAACCATTTGGTTCCCCAATGATTCAATGGGAATTCCAGGATCCAATTGATGGAGGTACGTTAGTACCATATGTTTGGCCATATTTTGTGGGGATATTCTCTTACATAGGCCTTAAAAATAGGCATTTTTTCTATGGTAGGTACCTCCGTCCTCAATCGGTTCCTGGCCAGCATGGCCATTGATTATATGGTATAAAAACTTATCTAATGGTTAATATCTTGATTTGTAGTTATAATATATAATCATCTAGTATATGTATGGGATAGTTCTATGTACGAATATATAAGTGATACTATAGTTGAAAAACCATTTGGTTCCCCAATGATCTGAGGCAAGCGATGGTAAGCTCAAGCCTTACATCAGCGCTGAGTTTCCCTTGGAGAACTTCAGGCCGCGGGCAGCCCCCAAGAAACATCGGTGAAATATCTGTTAAACACAACATACCCGGCCTGATAAACTAACATTTTGCAATGGAAAATCACCATTTTTAATGGGAATATCAACTATAAATGGCCATTTTCAATAGCTATTTTGACATAACCAGAGGGTAATCATGAACATAAGTTGGGATGCCTAACTACACCTAGAGTTAATGGTGGTTATTGTGTTTTAATAGCTGAAAATGGCAATGATCTACAGAAATTAGTGACTCTTAAAGATCCATTAGAATTGCCATTCACTAGCGGCGAAATATCCATTCTGAGAATATTGGGTGGGGAACAATATTAGGGTGTTTGAACAAGCCAACATATTCATTCCAATTGTTTTCTTTTGACGTGGGTTTGTAAAATGGGAGAACACCAAATTTTGTTTTTTATTTTGAAAATCGGATGGAGTGAGGTACCCAACATATATAAACCTATCCCCGAAAACCTCCCTTTTGCCTGAAGGACAATCGTTCTGCATCCTTCTCCCTTTGCCCATGTGTTTTTTCTGCCCATATAGGCCCATATATACTTACTGATTTATAAATACACATATCGCAACATTTCTTTGACGAGGATCCACTAGAATCCAAAATAATTCCTCTATAATCCACTAGTTTTTTTCTATATCAACCTTAGGAATCAAAAACCTACAAATTTGTAGATTTCTTTTTCTATGGGTCCTACGTTTTTGTAGGTTGTTGATTCTCAAGGAATGGTATATCAACGATTTTCGTTGGTTACTCATATTCCATCCCAAAGACCCCACCCCATCTTCCAATGATCCAATGATCCAACGGTCGTAACGACCACGACATGATCAGGGAAGCGTTTTACCTTATGGAGCAACGCAAGGCTGAAGGGTCATGAGATTAATGGGAGCTTAGAGGTTCTTAAGCTGCCCCAGAAACTACCCTCTGGTAATACGTTGCAGTTTGCGAACTGGAAAATCAGCATTTTTCAGGTGTTGAATGGATCATTCAGCTATAAATGGGTCATGTTGGAAAAGCAAACTGTTAGTCATTACCAGAGGCTATTGAGGATTCTCAACATCCAGGAACTGTGGGCGATCTTTCTGTATCACTGGGTTGGTGTTCATCAAATCTTGACCGGAAACCATGTTTTTGCCAGCGGGGGGAAAACCGCGCCAGCGTTTTAATGTTTTTGAAAACACACATATTTTATCCGTAGCATGCACAGCTTACGTTACGTCACTGGGTTGGGTGGGGTGGGGCATGTTAACATTCATGTTAACTTGCGTCACATGCACATCTTATATCATCTTGTGTTACGTCACTGGGTTGGCGTTGGATGAACTCCAAGACGAACAGTCTTATGGAGGTCACAGGTCGAGCCTTGAAAGACCGTGTGGCAATGTGAGTTGGAAAAAAAGACCCGGCGAGTTTTCAGGAACAAATTCCCTGTAATTTACAGGTTATCGTTTGAAAATCACTTCAAAATCCCAGGGATTTTTGAGCCAATTTTGGGGCATGAATCAGTAGTTTCGCTATGGCGAAAACGACATTTTTTTTTTAAAACCATCAAAACGCTGGCGCGGTTTTCCCCCCGGCGGGATGTTTTTGTCTATAAGTATGGGTTTTTTCCGCTAAATTGTCCTTCCAAGCTGTAAGTTTCTCATGATATTAATCCGCAACTGGTGGTTCACCCGAGTTAGGAAGTGGATGATAACAACTTTTCTTGCCCTACTTGCAAGTGGGGTTACAACCAACTTACAGGAACTTGGGTAAGCCAGCACGCATGGACCCATGTTGGACTGGCTTTGATCGTTTCTTTTCTGGGTTGGAACAAGGTAACCGCCAAGATTGGGATTTTACCAACAGAGAAACATCTTTTTCACCAGAACTACATTCTGGTAATGACTAACAGTTTGCTATTGAAAATCTCCATTTCTAGGTAAATCAACTATCACTGGGCCATTTTCATCCATTTTCCATAGTTTTTTTTTGTATGTTTAGGGTAATAGGATCTTGGCAGTATATTTTCCAACAACAATGAGGATTTGCGGTCCCGATGTTGGGATATGTTGGGATATAATGCTCATTGACTTCCTAAACCAATCAACATATTTCAATAACAAACCGTGGGCGCAAGACGGGTCAAGGCATAAGTTTTAGCAGCTAAGCAACACGATGACTTCTTAACTAGCACGAAAAACGCAGGGTGCAAACTGTCAAAATCATGAGAGTAGCCTCTGGTAATTTTCACAAGTTGCTCTTGAGCATGGGCCATTTACAATATTGACAGATATGATATACCTATCAAAAAATTGTAGTCCTCCATAGCTATGTTAAATTGCTATGTAGATGGCTGTCTTGTTTCAGATCATCAAAAGATGCCACAGATATGCTGCATATTTCCACCATGACATGTGCAGCTTGCAAAATGGCAGGTCGTTGGAAAGCCGAAAGCTTAGCAAAGTGTCGTGAGTTGGGAGAAAGTCTGCATTGTTTGCGTCACATCAGTCATTTCTGTGGGTCACTTGCCACTCATTGTTGGGTTTTTCATCCGTTATACACATGTTAGTCCCATTTAGTATCCCAGGTACTTAGATGGGCCATGGAGTTAGGGAAAACTAGTTCGTAAGTGGAGTTATAACCCCCTATGTATATCCCAATGAAATAAGCCATTTACTAACTAGTTTTGTTAACTAACTCCATGGCCCATCTAAGTAGTATTCGTGGTCAGGCTCAGTATCCACATCTCACGTAGAAGTCAATGGGGGAGACCTCCTGTTGGTGGCCTGAGCAGGCCTGGGCGCCTTGGCCTGATCTTTGGCATCAAATCTTGCTGTTTAACGTCAATTCTTTTCCATCATACAAAAAACTATGGAAAGATCCACCATGTTTCATGGGAAAATCCACTATTTCTATGGCCATTTTCAATAGTTATGTTAAATTACCAGAGGGTAATTCATTTTCAGGTACCCTCTGGTAAATTAACATAGACCCTGGCAGTCATCGGGATTGGAAGATTAGTTTCCATTAGATAATCTAGGCTATTTTCAGGGTCTATGTTTATTTACCAGAGGGTACCCTCTGGTAAACTAACGGTTTGCGAACTGGAAAATCCCCATTTTCGATAGGTAAATCAACGAACTATACATGTGCCATGTTCAAGTTCGCAAACTGTTAGTCATTACCAGAAGGTATACCATCATATATCCCATTAAATCCCATTGAATCACCATCATATATCCCATTAAAACACAATTTTCAAGTTCGCAAACTGTGAATGTCATTACCAGAGGGTAAGTATAGATATATCCCCTATAGATTCCCTATAATTCCCTATAAATTCACTATAGATTCCCCAGTTCTGGTGGATTTCCTATTGGATTTCCTATCATTACCCACATAAATCCACCAGGTTTGCCAAAAGCCCCATAGTTTGATCGCCATCTTCTCCCGATCCTTCGGGAGCTCCAAGAGCGACAGCCGAGGTGTTGCATCACCTTCGGGTCCAGCAGCAAGCTTTGAGAACATGGCTTTGATGCGGAAAAGCGAGCGTTGCCCCAGGGACTGCTGTGAGATCTATACCCATGACGGATCCTAACGGTGCTGCTATATATGGTGCTCCATGGATCCCATCAATATACCCCATTTATGTTAGCATATATACCAGCACCATGGATCCTATGGGTATTAGATTTACCCTCTGGTTATGACTAACATAGCTATTGAAAATGGCCATTTATAGTGAGTTTTCCATTGAAAATGGTGATCTTCCATAGTTATGTTAGTTTACCAGAGGGTATTAACATTTATTGATGTTCGGGATATGTCGGGAACTGTTGACCATCATAGAAAAATGAGCTTTATAGAAATATACCGAACTAATAAAACTCTGTTTGACTGCCAATTGCATGATTGATGCTGCACATCGGTGTCTTTTTTGTCGTCAAATCACCATATTGATGAAATCTTCAGTTGAACGCTTGACTCGAACTGCACGGTCACAAAAGCTTGGAATTGACTAATCCAAGTTGGTGCCCAGTTACATATTTTTGTTGGTGAAATCAACCTCTCTAAGTGTACGTAGTATATGTATGTATACAAATGTTAAGCTGGGGAAAACGTGATATCAACTTAACTGCTAATCAACTATCAATCAACTATCAACCCTCATTTTCTTAGTAAATCCCTATTTCTATAAGGATAAATCCCCATTTTTGTGTAGGGCACCATTCACAAAGGAAGTGGAGATGTGTCTTCTGCTTTCACCATGAGTTTCCTTCGGGATGAAACTTGCCATAAATGATGGTACCCCAATTTTTTGATGAACATATCTACAATGTGAGGCCCCCGTTTGATATCTAAGTTGGTGCAAATAACTCCAATAACTATGGTTTATGGTACTTATAACTAACTAGTTACTGGGGCTTATAAACCAACTTAGAACTGGGGGGCCTCACATTGTACGGATTTTGATATACAATTCCCGATTGATTGGTTCGAGGCTTCCTCCAAAATGCTGATCGTTTGCTGGAGGTTTCCTAAAATGGTGGGTACCCCCAGTTCTCATCCATTTATAGATGGATTTTCCGTGAAATAAACCATCCAGCTCTGAGGTATATCCCCATGTATGGTTATTCCCCCAGATTATGGGTCAAAAGCCTGGTACCCAACAGGATGGTACCCAACAAGTCATAGCTGGTTTTGCTGCTTATTCCCCCAGTCAGTCATGGTATATTCATAGCTAACTTGACCCATCTCCAGTCATGATAAATTCTTCCATCTTTCTCGATGATTTGATGATCTTTCTCGATCTTTCTCGATGCTTCGAAGGTTTTTGACCAATGACTTTCTATGATCAAAAAAAATGTGTTTCCATGGAGATTATGAACTAAGATTCCAGCATGGAACATGGGAAAGCGCATGAAACAGGATCAAAATCATGAATCTGATTGATCCCCACCAACTGAATTGGGATGAAAACCACGGGTAGCCCGCAAGTGGCAATGTTAGGGAAAATTGATCGAAAACAGATGTTGATAGGGAAAAATTGATCGAAAACAGATGTTGATAGGGAAAATTGATCGAACACAGATGTTTTACATGATCGGATGCGGGGTGTACCATGGTTTACCCCTCATTTTCAGGTACTTGCCACCCCATCTTCTCATTGCGGCAGCTTTGGTTCAAGGATTAGTTAGATGGGAGACACCAACTGTGTCAAGGCAGTTTCGGGTTGGCCAAAAAAAGGGGGTTCTGAAGTCATGGACCCCAAGTTGTCCAAGGTCTGGTCAATTTTTATGGGGAGACTGATGATTTTGGAGCACCAGCGCTTTTAAGAAACATAAAATGTCGGGTACTCTTAAACTCGATGGTTTTAGTTCTTTTTCTCCCGAGTCATTGCAGTCATTTGGGGTGTAGCCCATGTTCAGACACACTCCGGGGTCGTCAATGCAGATTTTGCCACCAGATTCCTGGTCCAGAGACTCTCCGTACAGGGAACTCAGAATGGACTTTGGGCTGTTGGAACGTTGAAACCTGGTAAGTTGCGGTAAGTTGCTGTCTTTTGATACTTAGATGGGCCATGGAGTTAGGGAAAACTAGTTAAATTGGGATATAGAAGGTAAACAAACCCCAGTTACTAACAAGTTTTCCCTAACTCCATGGCCCATCTAAGTAGGGTTTTCATCTAAATTATTACCAAATCATCCATATTGTATGGTTGGAGGATGGTAATAGATGGATATTATCCAACATTATCCAGCCATTACGGTCATGATCCAACCTTTACAGTCATTAATCAAACGTGACAATGGACAATGCCCCATAAAAATTGATTATTTTTTCCCATTGCTCCATTGAGTGTGGATTTCCCCAGCCATGTTTGAAGAGGCGTACCCGGCCTGGTAAACGTTAGCATAACTATCGAAAACCACCATATTTCAATGGGAGATCTTCAGGATCCGATTGATTGGAGCTACCTACCATAGAAAAAAGGCCTATTTTTCAGGGCTAAGTTTCAGGGGATATCCCCCTAAAATATGGCCAAACATATGGTACGTTTACGTACCTCCATCAATTGGATCCTGAAGATCTCCCATTGAATATTTTATGGCTAAATCAACTCTTTGGACTGGGCCATGGCTTCAATAGCTGGTTTTTTGTATGTTTACCAGGCCGGGTATATCATCATATATACCCATAGAAATAGATGGTTTACCTATTAAAAATGGTGGATCTTTCCATAGCTATGTAACAAATAACCAGATGGTATATCATCATATATCCCATGAAATCCCATTTTTAATGCCATTGAATCACCATCATGTATCCCATTAAAACACCATTTTCATGGGTAAATAGCGTTCTGGGTAAATATCATATATCTATACCCAACAGCTTCCGGAGAAAACCTGTGCTCCGGCAGGTGAAATGAGCATTGTGGGACAAGACTTCTGGATAGTGGCAGTTGGCTGTGCCAAAGGACAGTGGGAGCCTAAGGACAGCTCCAGAAGCGCAAGTCTCTACTTAGATGGGCCATGGAGTTAGGGAAAACTAGTTAGTAACTGGGGTTATAACCTTCTATATCCCAATTATAAGCCATTTACTAACTAGTTCACTAACTCCATGGCCCATCTAAGTAGCAATGTTAGGTGACGAAAAGTCGTCGCTGGACATGTCATGAACCACTTGGAGTGCAGTTGAAGTTACTTTTCTGATTATAAACCTGGTTATAAACCGGCATTTTTTGTTGGGATATAACATCTATAACTATGGTTTTATACAAGTTAATTGTGTATATATAATATATATATACCCATATCCCTTAAACTGAGAAATCTCGATCCAGTGTGACACTGAACATCTCAGAACTTGTATGGGTGTGTCTGGAAATTGGATATATATATATATATATACATGGGAACTCGGGAAAGATTATGATATTTAAACCGCTTGTTTTAGGTGTTTAGGCCTTTTTCTTTAACATGTCCGAGTACCTTTTTGCCTCAGGGAGTCCGGAGAAAAGAAAGATGCCTTGCTGTCACAGTGCGGCCCTCAGAAGTTCTGGCTCTGGCAGTTGCAGGCGATTTTTTTTAATGGTCAACCAACTGGATGGCTAGAAACTAATCCTTTAATCGTCTGGCATATATCTACTAACCAGCTAACGACTTTTGTTTTAAGGCTATTTGGCAAATAGCAATGTTCTTTGTTGGGATATGACTATGAGATTTAAAGCCCCAGTTTTGTTGGATATCACCCCATATACAACGATGGTGATATACCCTCTGGTAATTTAACATAGCTATGGACAATCACCATTTTTTATGGGAAAATCCACTATAAATGGTCATTTTCAATAGCTATGTTAAATCACCAGAGGGTATCCAGTCAGTTCACTGGTCCCTTCTAGGTAGATCTCTTGGAGCTCGATTTGAGATGGAGAATGTGTGTCGAGTTTGAAGAGATTTCAGCACGGTAGATGGAGGTTTCCTAAAATGGGGGTACCCCAAAATGGATGCTTCATAATGGGGAAAAACTATTGAAATGGATGATTTGGGGGTAACCGTACTTTAGAAACACCCAGATGTTTTTTGGAACTTCAAAAAAAACTTGTTTGACATATGCAACTTTTAAATGTAACACAGGCACCATTCTTTGTGATTGGATTGCAGCATATTGTTGAATCGGGCTGGACTGGTCGCTGTTGTCCAGTCAGATAGTTGCGCTTTCGGTGTAATCCCCCAAAAAAATGTAGGGTGACAACCATCCACTTGTAGTTGCATATCATTTTACTTAGATATTTTTCTAACAGCATGATATTTTTACAAACATATCCATCAACTATTCAACTATTCAACTATTCAACTATTCAACTATTCAACTACTCAACAATTCAACAATTCAACAATTCAACAATTCAACAATTCAACAATTCAACAAAACAACAACAACAACAACAACAACACCCCAGTTGTAAGTTGGTGTCTAAACCCCATGAACTATCGTTATATCCCCCAGTAGTTAACATTTCTATAAACTATAAACATCCTCAACCTTGAATAGGTATATAGTTTAATCAGTTTAATCCTACAATGTGGGGCCCCCCAGTGATGTTAGTTGGTTTATAAGCCCCAATAACTATACTTATAAGTACCATAAACCAAAGTTATTGGAGTTATAAACCAACTTAGCTATCTAGGGGGCCCCACTTTGTATGGAAAAGAACCTGCCAACCAGCAAAAGATGACATGTGTTTTGTGGACGATCAACACGATCAAGGATTCACCATGGAAAACGGGTTTTGCTAAGCCTAGTTAGTAAGTCCCCATTCACTTGGACTATTCCATTCATAACTGGCTTACAACCCCATTTTCTAAGAGGGCGGCACCCCGTGGGGGACTGAATTTTCATGAATTTTCATGATGATAAAACACTGTAAATACCGATGTTTTATGCATTTGAAATTTGGAGGGTCTAAAACCCTCTGTTTACTAATCAGTTACCCTCTGGTGAATAAACAGTTC